AGTATCTGTAATATGACTGATTAATATCAGATGAATAAACACCAGTCCTAAACATAACGTATTAAACATATATTTCGTACGGAAGACCATTAGGATCAATTAGTTCAGCTGTCTAGTCGTTCGGAACTTCGGATGGGACGTGCGTGCGCGTAAAAGACCCCTTTAATATAATCGTAGGCCATGCCGCCGCTCTCCGGGCAAAATTTCCCACACAGCACACTGTTGGGCGTATGCCCGTCTTCATTAGCCCAGTCGGAGTAAAACAGTTGTACGTTAACCCCCATTTCATATCATTTCATTTCTTACTGCGCCACCGAGGCTCCCTTTTCATTGAAACAAATAGTTCTGAATATCTCGTAGTTGACGCATAATTACGAGATAATTTCAAGCCCATCTGAGATAGTTAATTCAAAATTATAAGAAGGTTTTTAATTAAAATCCGTTTTTCCGAGATAGTTTTGATGAAAATTCGTAATTACGAGATAGATTTGATTAAAATTCGTAATTATGAGATGGATTTTATAATTCGTAATTGCATTTTTTTGCTCATTTGGTCTTCCGTAAGTGGATAAAGAAGGCGTTGGGTGAACTTGACACACGCCGATGATAACGTACAACCAGATACGAATAGTATTGAAACCAATATATCACTCGGTAGATTTTTTTTTTTTTTTTGTCATTCAATATGTAAGCTAAACTAAGATAAGATTTTAACACCCATTAAAGACACTTTCGATTATTTTTTTTTTGTTTGTCATTCAATATGTAAGCTAAACTAAGATAAGATTTTAACACCCATTAAAGACACTTTCCTGCGTTGAAACTGTATGATTTGATGATATCTTTGGACAAAAAACATATTAAAACTAGAGAGAGAGAGAGAGAAATGGGATTTAACGTCTAATCGACACAAACTAGGTCATTTCGGGACTAACACATGGTTCAAATTTATTTCAATAATTCGCTTGCGCGTAGGGGTCTTTCGCAGTGGGAGGAAACCGGAGGACCCGGAGAAAACCCCCGAGATTGGACAGGCGACCCTTGTCACGTACGGAATCGAAACCACGCCAGTTAATTCAATGACAGACCTTATGACACATATTAAAACTAATTAATCTATCAAAAATTTGATTCAAATCCCTCTCAAACTTTTGAATACGCGGGTATGTCTGTTAAGGCCATGTCTGTCACCCCGCTTCTTTGAGGGAATGTCCATTTTTCAGAATGCATTTACCATGCATATTGAGGCTTAAGTAAATTCTTAATTATTTTTTGACAACTTCTTGTTCCGCCGTTAAATTGCAGGGGCTTTTGTACGTTGACACATCTCAATGTTCCAAAATCTCCTAACGATTTGATCAAGAAATAACAACCGCCCCCTCAGTCAAGCTAGCACACAATAAGCTGGCAGACAACAGTCGGGTTGCCAATTAGTGATACCTTGACATTTTTGCCCAGTGTTTTGGGTTTTTTTTTCGGGTAATCCAGTATTTTTCTAGGACAATTTATCTTTAAGGGCAGCATACAATATAAAAATGTACATAAATAAGGATCAATATATCAATATATAAATATCGCCAAATGGCAAGGCGGCCGTTGAATCAGGTCTGTCATTGAGTCAAGTGGCGTGGTTTTGATTCCCCGCTTGTACTTGACAGGGAGTAGATTCACCCTTACAACCTCGTGGGTTATCTCAAGACCCTCCGATTTACTCCCACGGCTAAAGATCCCTACAAAATTAAATCATGTGTTAGTCCCGAAAGGACCTAGTATGTGATGAGTGGAGGTTAAACCCCATTTCTCTCTCAACATTGTTCATAATCATGTTAGGTGTTTTTATCGTATTATAAATATTTCCTTTAAAAATATGAGCCAGATAGTTGTTATTTTACAACCAGGAAAGATATTCACAGGAAATGATATCAACTCAAATGGAGTTTAACGTCTTACTTTCTCTGCATTAATGAGGCGGGTGAGGAAATCAATTATTTTATAGGCTGCTTCGGCGGGCCACAGTGTGTTTAAACCTAATAGCCATTTGATAGGGTGCACTTGCAGCGTGATCTGCTTTACCAACCTTACTACTTCTTACTACTGCTTGACTATATGCTATATATAATATATAGTCAAGCAGTAGTAAGAAGTTTTATTTTAATACCCTTCAAGTGCCTGTGGAACTTTCGGCATTTTCGAAAACCCTATTTCACAGGGCACTATTTCAATGAACTCAAAGGCACCAAGAAATCGGCTTGAAACAATAACTGTAAATAAACCAGTATGCACAATAACTATCGATTCACTTAATTTGTGAAAATTAAAACACAGACCCATTTAATGACTAGAGAAGCCTAGTCCAAACGTCGCTCAGTAATAAGCTGTAATTGTGTTCCATAGAATTGCCACCGGTATATTCCAGTTCAATTACTAAATTTCATTGAAACAATATATTAGCAACTGAAGTAGATAGCTTGTCAAACTATATTTTTAACTTGTGTGATCATTTATCTGTTTACAGACATTAATTCGGTAACTATGACGTGATCTTGTTAAAGACCATGTATGTAACTTGACCCAAAGTTGAATAATGTTGTCATAGCAGTTTATCAATTAGATCGCTTAAATGGGGTTAGTGTGTGTGGTTGTCTGTTTGTAGGGGAGGGAGTGGGGTCTAATATGCGCCTTTTAGAACATAAGGTCTGCCACTGAGTCAAGTGGGGTGGTTTAGATTCCCAACTTGTACAAGGTTTCTGGTAGACTGTCCAACCTCGTGTGGTTGTGTGTGTGTGAGTGGCTGTGGGGGGGGGGGGGGAGGCTAACATACAAGATACAAAATTTGTTATCTAGGTTAACTTTATTGATATAATACGAGTTGACCTTATCTCTAACATACAGTATTTGTTTTCTAGGTTAACTAACTTGATATAATACGGGTTGACCTTATTCTAACATACAGTATTTGTTATCTAGGTTAACTATATTGTTGATTTATTTGTTATCCAGGTTGACTATATTGATATAATAGGAGTTGACCATATCTCTAACACACAGTATTTGTTATCTAGGTTAACTATATTGTTGATTTATTTGTTATCTAGGTTGACTATATTGATATAATAGGAGATGACCATATCTCTAACATACAGTATTTGTTATCTAGGTTAACTTTATTCATATAATACGAGTTAACATTATCCCTAACATACAGTATTTGTTATCTAGGTTAACTACAGTGGACTCTGTCACATCCGACATCGTGCGGGATCGTTACAATAATTCGGATCACACAGCGTTTCGGAATACCGAGTTTTCTCCAAAACCGGAAATACTGTAACTTCGAAAACCGGAAGTATTTTTATATTGTAGCTTCGAATCACCAGAATGCTATTCCCTTTATAAATGATAAACTTTTCTGTACTTTCAAAATTTTATTATATTAAGTAATTAACAATAACAATGCATGCGTACAATATATTCATAAATCGTTTACATGTAATATCAATGCATGCGTACAATATATTTATAAATATCAATGCATGTAATCGTTTAAAGTAGTTTGCTTAGTTAAGATTACCGGAAGCATATCGTAAGGCGGAGTCCTGGGCAACATCTTCTAACAAATGAATTGTTGCGATGATCTTTTCGTCCTTAATCTGTGCGAAGTGTTTAATGTCGTTGAGCATGCGTAGGAATTTTGAATAGGTCAAGTCTGTCGTTAATGTATATTCTTCATCGTCCCCGTCTTCAGTCAATTGTCATTTATAATCTGTCGTTCTATGTCCAGTTTTTCAAGCCAATCAAAGTAAACGGCACCTGTCATCCAAGCTTTGCGATTGGCCGACCAATTGACTGGCAGGTAGATCTTGTCCACTCCCTTAAAACAACTCGGGTTCACTGCTTTACCGATCAAAGTAATCAACACAGTTTTAATCTCACCGATAATTGATTGGTGATTACTTGTTAATCTTTTCTGACTTCACACCCATTGAGTTTTAATCTCACCGATAATTGGATGCTTCACACGCACCGTTTGAAGTACGGATTATACGGTGTCGATTCAATGGAAATTATGTGACGGGACGACTGATTGATTTCGGAATCCGGAACATACAGAATTCGGATTTACCAGCGACTTTTTGGCTGAAGTAACAAGAAAATAAATCGGGACATGAAAATCATACCGGATGTCACAGCAATCCGGAGTGATCAGAGATCGGATGTGACAGAGTCCACTGTATATTGATACAATACGAGTTGACCTTGTATTTGTTATCTAGGTTAACTATATTTTTATTTAATACGAGTTGACATTATCCCTTACATACAGTATTTGTTATCTAGGTTAACTATATTGATACAATATGAGTTGACCTTATCTCTAACATACAGTATTTGTTATCTAGGTTAACTATATTGTTATTTAATACTAGTTGACCATATTCCTAACATACAGTATTTGTTATCTAGGTTAACTATATTTTAATACGAGTTGACCTTATCTCTAACATACAGTATTTGTTATCTAGGTTAGCTATATTGTTATTTAATACGAGTTGACCATATCTCTAACATACAGTATTTGTTATCTAGGTTAACTATATTGTTATATAATACGAGTAGACATTATCCATAACATACAGTTTTTGTTATCTAGGTTAACTATATTTTTAATACGAGTTGACCTTATTTCTAAATACAGTATTTGTCTTCTAGGTTATCTATATTGATATAATACGAGTAGACATTATCCCGAACATGCAGTATTTGTTTTCAAGGTTAACTATATTGTTAGTACGAGTTGACCGTATCTCTAACATACAGTATTGTTATCTATTATTGTTATATTATTGTTATATAATACGAGTTGACCTTATCCATAACATACAGTATTTGTTTTCTGGGCTAAAAGTTGTTTTTAGCGCTGATATGAACTATTTTTTTTTATCTAAGCTAATTATTTATTGATATAAGTTTTGACTTTAAATAAACCTTCTGTTATGTAGGCTAACTATGCTGATATAAGAAAAGCTTGCAACCAATGGAGAAATGATCACGATATTGCCGATGACTGGAGTAGCGTTTTGGATATTATAACTCATTATGGTAAAAATGAAGGTGATTTCGCATCTTTTGCCGGACCTGGTGGCTGGAATGATCCTGATGAGGTAAGTAATATTTGTCACATCGTGATTCATGTTGCATTTTACCTGCCCGAGAGGAAACCAGAGCTCCGTCATGTGCCAGCCTTTAGTTTCTCCAAAAGGGACTTGTACCCCGAATCCAGCGTTGTTTTCAAGTTGGAGATTTCAACGTTAACGCCAAAATGACGTTCGCAACGTGTTGACAAAATGAGTAAAGTGAACCTGATTAGGGTAGAGTGAAATCCTTATACGGCATTTAGTAATTGAACATATGATATAAAACACAAATTTATATGGAAAACAATCACTGGGTTTATTTCACACTACGTTTCAACAAGTTCCTCTTGTCGTTCTCAAGTAAGTAATGACAGTATAATAATAATAATAATAATAATAATAATCATTTTGTATAGCGCTGAGTGCTCCAGCTAACAGCTGCTCCGCGGCGCTAAAATCAAGAAATCAAATTATATACAAGGTTGTATCGTCATTACTTACTTGAGAACGACAAGATGAACTTGTTGAAACGTAGTATGAAATAAACCCAGTGATTGTTTTCCATCATATAAATTTGTGTTTTATATTATTAGGGTAGAGAATTGGCAAGGCGCCTAGCGTAAAAATAACTGCAGTGAAGTTTTGACAAATAACTGGAGTAGAGTGTTAGCAAGACGCCTAATGTTCAAATGACGGGGTTAGACATGTCGACAAGACGTCTAACTTCAAAATAACTTGCCTAAAACGTTGGCAACGTCAGAATGACTGGGGTTAGGTGTGAAATTGTTTAACGCCATACATAATATTATTTTGACTGGGTATTTCCATTGTTTCGAATAACAAAATGAAGTAAATGACGCATTTTGACTAGAGCTCCCCCTCCCACACTGTTTCGAATAACACATTGATGTGAATAACCATTAGGGTGTTTCACCTTTCACTTTTTTTGGAATTTCTAAGGTTTCTACCCGTCACCGAAGTCCACTCGGGGTCAAACTTACACCGTAATATTTTCAGAATTTTCTTGCCGAAAATGGCTGCCGACGGCCATTTTTTCCAAAATTGCGACTATTTTCTGGATTTTCGGACGTTTTGAGCTTGACAGATCACTTAGAAAGGCCAGGTATGGCTTGTAATGTGTCTATTTTATGCTTTTCAGGTATATAGAGTCCATTCCCACTATCTTAAATAAGATTGTCAGAATCCAAGATGGTGGAAATCCAAGATGGCGCCCAAATCTTCTATTTTCGTGACATGGAAAAGCAGTTTTCAAAGACTATGTCATTCTGAACATCATTTTGGCCCTGATAATAAATTTTGCACTCATAAAATTCATGATCAGGGCCAAAATGATGTTCAGAATGACACTGATCTACCTTTGGTTGAAAATGGCGCAAGGTAATGACTGAAGGTGAAGTTCCGATGGAGTATATTCACAACACTATTAATCTGGCAGAACTATGACTGAACCTGGAAATTGTTTACAAAGTTTTTTTTCATGATTGATTTTAGTAGCCTAAGGTGTCCTCTTTCAGAATGTGCCGGGTGAACCTCGGTAACCCTTGAGCGTTCTGAGAAATTCAAGATGGCATCCAAGACGACCGGCATTTCACTAAATACACTGAGCTCGTTCATTATGTTGTGGCGATTTCACCAAACCAAACTATATCTAGAGACAAATTATATATTTCTTGATATAGTAGCAAATGAGTGATACAATAACACTACATACATGCCTATCAGGAGCACCAGGACCACATGGATCGGCCCTGGAAAGGGGGGGGGGCACAAGCTGTTTTTTGAATATTTAAAAAAAACCCAACAAATTCTACCCGTAAAACACGAAAATAACTAGGTAATATTCAGTTTAATCGTCTAGTCATGTTTCTGGCTGCAACCTGCAAAATACTGTATAATCTAAGCCATCCCTAGTGTTGCTACAAGCACGCGTACTACATGTCACTCTTGCATCCACATCTGATGAACCACGTAACAGACTCCGGAGCACGTTGACCGGTTGTAATGTTCTCAATTTAGTGTCCTTAACCAAGCAATATAGTTCCTGCGGACTACGATCTTCCAGTCAAGGCCACACAATAGCTTGGTGATGACATGTTTTTACGTTCCCTACACATGCATCATTCTTTGGAGCAAGACTACATGGTTTAGGTGGGGATGATGACGACAGATTTCCCGTTTTGGATGCCTATGCCCTCCAACGTGTTTCAGACAGCGATTTGCAATAGCTCTGTCTATAACAAGCTTCTTACAATGGAATCACCAATCGAGGAAAGAACAACCGTTGACATTGGTTCAACTTCTGAGAAACATGTCCAGTACCATTGAAATCCTGTCAGCTCATGTTCTTACTGGATGTGACACAGTTACTTGCTGTTACGTCGTGGGGAAAGGAATAGCTTTGAAAGTGGTGAGAGCTTGATTGTATTCTCTCTCCAGACGCTCTAATAGAATCTGTGCTTGTACAGGCCACTGTACATGTCAGTTGGTTATGGACAAAGTTCTAGCAAATCGATGTCCGAAACACGCTGGAGGGTATGCACAATTGGACATCCAAAACTGAAATGTATGGTCAGCATCCCCCCACCCAACCATGTAGTCTTGCTCAACGAATGATGCATTTGCAGGGAACTTGATCCGGAACTGTTTTACTGGGCGAAGGTTACTACAGTGAGAACATTACAACCGGCCAACATGCTCCAGAGTCTGTCATGTGGCCCTGGAGCTCCTGATAGGCATGTATGTGGTGTTATCATATTACTCTTATGCTCCTATGTCCAGAAATATAGTTTGTCTCTAGATATCATTTGGTTTGGTGAAATAATCGCCCCCAACCGCCGCTAACGAGTTAAAGGGTCGTATTATCTGGTATTTTGGATTTTACTATCATCTAATCACCCCACAACATAATGAACGATTTTAGTGTATTTAGAGAAATGCCGGCCGTCTTGGATGCCATTTTGAATTTCTCAAAACGTTCAAGCGTTACCGAGGTTCACCCGGCACATTCTGAAAGAGGACACCTTAGGCTACATAAATCAATCATAAAAAAACTTTGTAAACAATTTCCAGGTTCAGTCATAGTTCTGCCAGATTAATAGTGTTGTGAATATACTCCATCGGAACTTCAAAGGTGCATCAGTGTCATTCTGAACATCATTTTGGCCCTGATAATGAATTTTATGAGTGCAAAATTTATTATCAGGGCCAAAATGATGTTCAGAATGACATAGTCTTTGAAAAATGATTTTCCATGTCACGAAAATAGGGAATTTGGGGCACCATCTTGGATTTCCACCATCTTGGATTCTGACTATCTCATTTAAGATAGTGGGAATGGACTCTGCACACCTAAAAAGCATAAAATAGATACATTACAAGCCATACCTGACCTTTCTAAGTGATCTGTCAAGCTCAAAACGTCCAAAAATCCAGAAAATATTCGCAATTTTGGAAATAATGGCCTTCGGCAGCCATTTTTGGCAAGAAAATTCTGAAAATATTACGGTGTAAGTTTGACCCCAAGTGGATTTCGGTGACGGGTAGAAACCTTAGAAATTCCAAAAAAAGTGAAAAGTGAAACACCCTAATAACCATATTTTAATCACATATATCACCTAATAATGTAACTTCCTGTTCTGCTCCGACTGGGCTAATGAAGACGGGCTTACGCCATACAGTGTACTATGGGGGGAATTTTGCCTGGACAGCGGCGCTACGGCCTACTCTTATATCGAATTCAAACTTCCAAAGGATCTTTTTCGTGCACGTCAATGTGTACATGGTACCTCGGTTTTTCTTTCCATCCGAACGACTTTGTCTTTGTCAGACCCTCCATCCTGTACCACTGACAAGGCACCTAATAATGTAAATGTCGGAGACATCACTTCGGTGGAAGTCGACGTCAAAGTAAGCTGTTACACACACTGTCAAAAATAGCCTAGTCTAATATAAGCAAATAATGAAATTCAGTATTTAGGACGTTTTATTTCTACAACAACAAACAAATATTTTTTCAGTTAGTTATTGGAGATTTTGGCTTAAGTCAAGATCAAGAGAAGGTGCAGATGGGAATGTGGGCTATGATGGCGTCACCACTTCTCATGTCCGTCGATCTCCGAAATATTCGAAACGAGTCACGTGATCTTTTAATTAATAAGAGGATTTTAGCCGTTAACCAAGATAAGATTGGAAAACAAGGGAGATATATATTTACAGTGGTAAGTAAATCTAAGATGCTAGTAGGGGAGAAATCATTGTCTTGTGTCGCCCAAGCGCGATGAGCAGCACATCGAATAGCGACTTGGATCTAAAACCAAACGGTCGCATTCTCTATCGGTTGATGCCGGAATACACTTCGTATATATGCGTGTAGGTAGGTAGGATTCGTGTGAATGTATGAGCCTAACAGACAGCATGGTTTAGGAAGTAATCAGATTTTACAGGGTTCCGGATGCAGACCACCAATTAACTTCTCTTTTGCGATACCCATCTCCTCTTTCGAAACTATGTTTTTATAAAACTCACTATGAGCCGAAATCTACACTAACCCCTGTGCGCATGAGAAATGATAAAATGGGCATGTGCCTATCTATCGTTGAAATGAAATGGGGTGTCACATCCTACTTTTCTGCACCAGCTGCATTAATATGCCATACAGTGTGCTATGGGGGACTTTTTGCCCGAACAGTGGCACTACCGTTTACGCTTATATTGAATTCCAACTGGCAAGGGTTATTTTACGTGCACGCACACGTGTACCCGGGACTTCGGTCTTTCGTCCGTGACACGTGACAGGCCCTCGGTCCTGTGCCACTGACCAGGAGAACCACACTGGAAAATCCCGGGGAACTTTCTTGGCCAACACCGGGATCGAAACTTACCCCCCCACCCCATACTCCCTGGGCCACTGACCGGAGGGGAAGTAAACCCCCATTCCTTTCTTGCAATCTACACAAAATGGATTTTCTCTCTGTTTACAGTCGACTACAGTGGATGTTTGGAACAGAACAATTCTACCAGAAGGAAGCGTCGCAGTTGCTTTTCTTAACAGAATTAATTACGGTGGGCCTAGACAAGTTATTCAGCGCTGCAGTGACCTCGGATTAATCCGACCAAATGGTTATGTTGTAACAGATGTATTCACCGGTGACGTCATAGGGAATTTTAAACCGAACGATATCCTCACTATCGATGTTAATCCTATGGGATTAAGTATGTATACCGCTAATCCACTATAAAATGATATACATAATTATATTTTTTTTACGGAAAATAGAAATTAAAAGAAGTAACTCCGCTTAGTTTTAAAAACTCGTTTGGTTTTTTTTAATTTATAGGCTTAATTTTTTACTGTATATATTACATCAGTCCATTCCATTAAGTGGACGTTGAAGATTCCGTGATTGGAATATGCTCGGGGTTAACGTGTCGGTCATTATGAGACTAATAATATATTATTATTTTTGTTTTATGGTTATACGTGTGTGGTACAAATAGTAGGGTGGGGTACCCAACTGTGGCGTTTTCCGCCAATGCTCATCTTCGAATTCAAACCACCAAGAATTCTATTACGCGCACACCAACGCAGGGGGTGGGAGCATAACTAATCGCAGTGCCTCGACGTGGGTATGGGTGGTTCTTCCCGAGAACAGTTTGAAAGTTTGAAGACGATTTCCTTGCATCTGGGGCTATTTCCGAAGGGTGTTTACTCCTTTAAATGTATAGATCATCTCCCAGACTCTCTCCTGGGTTTCTCCTGTAACCACTCCCTCGTTTTAACGACAATGCGTCGCTTTTAATTAATTATAAACCCCGAAGACGCGGTGGATCTTTTCTGGGCCATGTTGGGATTCGGGAAATGGATGTTCTCTTCCACTTTCCACTGCCCTAATTACCAACGTATCGCCCCCATCCCCCGTTTCTTGGGGAGGGCCACGCCTCCATTCGCAGCGAGTCCGTGGACTAAATGATTGATTGGGTCTTGGAAATTCAGGTCAGCCACCTAAGTTAGGCTATGTTGAACCACGTTGAAGTTCCTTTATCCACTGGCTGGAATAATTTTCAAAATTATAGTCCGTCGACTGTAAACGATTGATTGATTGATTGGAATTCGAGTCAGCCAACTTGGGCTGTATTAGACCATTTCGAAGTTGCTGTATTCACAGGATAGAATATCAGGAACACGCTTTTATCTGGCTGTCAAAATTTATTGGCAGGCCCCCACACTATAAAATCCGCGCAAACGGCGCGGCTGTCTGTATACGGGAATTTTTTTACAGCATTACAGGCCTGCCCTCCTAACATTCATCGGGCCGTACGCCTATGCTTTCTTGTGGATCACATGTCTCTCCATTTTGAGACGTCTATATCACTACGTCTATCCCCCGCATCCATTCACATTTGATATTATTGCTGTTTGGGTAGTTTGTCCTGTCCGCAGGTTTGTCTTGTTTGGTGTGTTGTGTGTATAGTGTGGTCCTTCTGCAGTTATTACTATAAATTATGTTACCAATTACTTTAGGACTAGGCACACCTGTAAATTTTTCTACAATAAATCTCTCACAAAATTAGAGGTTTCATTAAAGTTTTATATATTATTTATAAATTAGAAAATGTTTCAATAATTTTCGGAACCAGTCGTTCACTTAGGGTATGCATTGTGTTGTCTTCTGCGTAGGGAGTGCGCATGTCAATGGAGTATTTTGTTCGGTAGTGATGCAACAAGGCCTCGTTTGTGGAAACTAAACACTCATGGTAGGCCTTATTGTAGAACTTGGCAGCCTTATGTATCTCCATAAAAGACACAAATTCCGGCTTAACCAAGACTTTTGAGCGAGCTCCCTGTTTTGGAAGAACTTTTGCATGCGTAGTTTTTAAAAAATACGTCATGCTGTACTTCATTGCGTCATTTCTACCGGTGAAATTTTTAGTGGTTGAGTTAAAAAAAGTTGGAAAAAATGCAGAAGTAAAAGACGCCGCGGCACAGTTTTTATTTTGAAAATATTTGTCAGTGATGCCATGCCATGTTTTAAAAACAGGGGAGACAACTACTTCGTCTACGTCAGCAAATAAAACGTATTTTGATTGGTGCATGTTTCTGTACAGACAGTCATGCACATGCGCCAGTTGTCCATAATAGTGAATGTCAGACGTGTTAATGGGTAAATTCCATTGTTGTAACTTCACTACACCATTTCGTTGATAAAATCTCAACACATCGTTGACTGTGGATTCACGAAAATCATACATAATAAACATTTCCATACCAAACATCCGATCAGTTTCCATCATTTGAATGAGCGCCATTTTGTCATGAAAGTCATAAAAAGACGGGACGCATCGAGTGAAATTACGTTGCAGGATGGTGTGTTTTTGTACATGGAGGTAATTTGAAAGGTTCTTCATTGGTTCTGTCTCTAGTGTGGAGCTGGACACAACTGAGATAATTTCTGATTTTTGTGGTGAATTCGACAGCTTGCACGTGATTATGCCGGAACGGTACCTGAATAAGACGGGTCAGTAAGTACAATTAAATCTCATCATGTCGAAATAAAGGGCAGGTAACCGGGTTACTCATTCGGACTAGACTGGCAATAAAATTATGTTCTCCCCACTGACTTCATCACAGTTCTTGGTCGTATACCAGAGTTCAAAATTTGGGGACAAATGAAGCACACACTCACTCTAATTATATTTCCCTTCTACATTGTTTATTTATAAATTGTAAATGTATCTATATCTGACAGGGTGAGGGGTTTAATATGTCTTTTCCCGAATCCCTATACAGGTAAAATAATACATTTTTAATATTAAATACTTACTTATATCCCCATCTGGGTTCAGGTATATATTCTAATACAGCTGGATAGAAAACATGTTGTTCGGCTACTGTATGAGACACACACTTGAAAACATCCGGCGTTAAATGGTCACGCAGTATGGCTACAATCCGTATAACAGGTGCGTCTCTGTTGTCGTAAAACGCAGAATAGACGTACGACTCGTGTACATCACCCACTGGCTGAAACCCAGATTTTACTGTGTAGTTTTTTTCGTCCCCTGTCAATGATCGTATAAAACGTATAGAGTTATTCACAGATATTCCTATTATAAATAAACTTAGTACACTAGCAACAATAATCGTACAAAATACAAATCGAAAAAACGTTTTCATTTTGATTCAGTTAATTTCACCGTCTTTCAGTATCTGTAATTTGTAGAAGTGAGAATCTTCTATAATAAATATAGACTGGATGTATCCTTTAAACTGTTTAATACCGGCAAACATTAGGCAGAGTGACTGTCCTGGACATGGGATAACACCTAAAATGTTGAATGAAATGTACAATTCGGTATTTAAAGAGGCTATTGTCCACGGATTAAATTACTACATTTACACAGTACAAATGCAGGTAACAATACAATATAAAAGACAATACATGTAATTACAAATAATAGAAATAATAAGGATTAAGCTTACTATACAATTAATGGGTCGGCTATCGACCGCCGTTTACTAATCATGTAGTCATACAAGGTTAATGGTTTCAGGTATTATTAAATGAATAAAGGAAGAATTACAGGTTAATGAATAAATGTACGATTATATCACCATTACAGTATAACGGATTAATATGTGTAGTTTAATGGTCGAGTGTGAGACATTAAAGTAGCTAAGTCTCTAACTCAATATCATCCAAAATCTTTGACATTGAAAACACGAATTATTTGTCAATTTAAATCAACATTGATGGTGTGATCTTACCGAGAAAAGATGGGCTTCTGATATCCAATATTTAAGACAAAATAAAGAATACCATTGGTATACGAATCGTGTACCATAATGCGTTTCAGGCCCATTCTAACAAGGGACTCGAAGAACGAGGCTAGACATATCGGGAGAGCATGCGCAATAAATACTATGTAGACTAGAATAACCAGACCCTAGAAATTTTCATTTGATTGAGACTTCAGACATATTTCGCCGAACGTAACTGATTTGAAATTAGAGTAAAAATGTAATCGATTGAATGTAAATATATTCCTATTACATTATTATATGCGTTACGACCCATTTTCAATTTTTAGGTCCAAAATATTAGCGATTTAGCTCCTTTAAGTAATATATTGATATTGTACGAGTGCGATAGCACGAGGGCAATATCTATATATTACGCAATGTCTTGCACGAGACCGTTAAACAACTTAAAATACAGACACTGTCCAGCACGTGCATTTCAACTAGTATAAATAATATACGCTTGGCACATTGCCATCAAAGGATGGCGCCACATCTGTATTTTAAATCTGTCGAATAAACATCAGTCCTAAACAGATCAAACGAAACATATACATGTATTGCGTACGGAAGACCATTATGATCAATTAAATGAAAAATGAAATGAAATAGGCTTCAACATCCTACTGTTCTACTCCGACTGGTCTTGTGTGCTATGAGGGATATTGTTACAGGAAGCGGCGCTACGGCTACTCTTATATCGAATTCCATCTTTCAAAGGTTATTTACAGTGCACGCCAATGTGTACACGTGTCTACGATATCACCCTTAGTGGAAGTGGACGTAAAACTCCAGGAACGAAAGAACGTGACCTCGGTCTGGGGTCCCTAGTCAGGTCCTATGTCCTGCACCTCATTCTTGAACCTGTGACTTTAATAGATAACACCCCCTCTCACAAAATTCGTAACCCAGGCCGCCGCCCAAACCCTATCAGAGACACATGTTACGCAATACACTTCCCAAATAAGGACACCACCTGTTTCGAGGAACGTAATGCTTTCAGATATTTACTACGAACTACGAGATAGTTTTATTAAAATTCGTAATCATGAGATAATTTTAATTATAATTCGTAATTATGAGATAGAGTTACTAAAATTCGTAATTACGAGATAATTTTGGTTAAAATTCGCAATTGCGAAATATATTTAATTTGTTCTCATTTGGTCTTCCGTACGTTGATATTATTATTATTAAACATCCATTATGCAAGAGCTAAATCTGTCTATTGCAGGTCTTTCTTTAGGCCTGGAATGTTATCTAAATTATTAATTAGACATTAATTAACCTATCCAGATCATAATGAAGTCTCGATGGCATCCCTAGCCTGCGATCTTTAGTGGATTATGAGCCGATTTACTGCAGAACTTTCCTTCACGATTTAACGATTAAATGGATAATCGAGACTATGCTGTTTATCGTACTGACTTTAGTAATGATGATCGAGGCTAGGCGGAAATTTCAATCGCTTAATTCTCGGTTCATAGTGGATCAATTTGAATGAAATTTTTAGCAAATTGCCTTTACATTATGTAGTTTTTATACGCCCACATTTTCATGTGGACGTATATTGTCGTCGCCCCTGTCCGTCCGTTCGTCCGTCCACAATTGTTTGTGAACAGTCTACAGGTCACAATTTTTATCTGATTTCAACGAAACTTGAAATATAGGTTTATCACCCTAAGATCTCGATTCCTTTCGATATTGGCATGTATCGGACTGTAACTTCATGGGTTATGGCCCCTGATTGTACGAAGGTCACAATTTTTATCCGAGTTGGTTTTAACTTGAAATGTATGCTTATAACCCATAGATCTCGGTTCATTTCGATATTCGCGCATATCGGAACGCAACTTCCTGAATTATGGCCCCTTATTGTACGAACAATCGCGTTTTTAGCTTGTGGACCCTATAGAGGTCATAATTTTTATCCAATTTAAAAAAACCTATTATTATATCACCGTTACACACTAAGGACGACTGAGTTCGAATTTCGTGAAAATCGGCCCAAAACTGACAGACAAAATGGCCGCCCTTCGTTCTCAAATAGCAGACAACATTTATCATCTGGTGGTGGGTGTGGTATTCAACGCCCAAAATGCCATGCCCCCCCCCCCCCAACTAGGCTAGATTAGCCGGTGGTGGTACTGAACAACAACAAAGCTGTTTTAGGTGGTACAAACTTCAGCTAATCTAGCCTAGAAATGGTCTGGAAATAAGATAACTCTTGTCAGGGATACTTCACCACCAGAAATGTCTGTCAGAGTGTTTTTGTAATACCTGAAGATGTACGGTACACTGCTGTACGATTTTCATGTGGTACACTTTTGAGCTAATCTAGCCTAGTTGGAGGCATGGTATTTTGGGCGTGGAATACCACACCCACCACCAGAAACCCGGCAAACTTACATTCTGATGATACCAGATATACATGCATTGATACCATATAGGAGAAAATTGGTACACTTTTCAGCTAGGTTGACCCCCTAGGCCAGCGAGACTGGATAGCGAGACTTTTGTGGAGAATGGGACCTCTCTTCTTTGTGCGACATTTTCGGGCACCGATTATTATTTGTGAATGCTGCTGCAACAGTCTGATTGGGTTATGGGTTTTCGGATCGTCATATAATGGAATATAATTTGTAAAAACCATTGGACATCTTTAACTCACGTGCTAGAATAGCAGAAAAACGTATTTGCAGCAGTTTAATTTTCCCTCACTCTCCAGTGCATCTGTGGACTAAACGATTGACTGGTTGTTTAAAAAATTCAGGTCAGCCACCTAAGTTAGGCTATATTTGACCACATTGATGTAGCTGTATCCACGGGCTGGAATAGAAGGAAAGGGCGTTCGTGGCCGTTAATTTTCTCTACATTCTCCGGTCGAAAGAAAACGATTGATTGGTTGATTGGAATTCCAGTCAGCCAACTAAAATCACCGCAGACGACGAACATGGTAACGCAGACGAACCAATGTTTTAACTCGAACAATATCTAACGCCCAGTGACTTATATACATGTATATTAACACACGTCATTCTTACCGCAATATAAAATCACGTGATTTCAAAATGGCATAATACATAACATTTGAATATCATGTGATCGCTGATTGGTGATGTGTGTAAAGTGGGAAAATCTGTTTCGCAAACGTTCGGCTTCAACACAGACGACGAACAGAATTCCAAATATCTAACACGTTCGATTTTACGAACATCTTTTCGGAACGTTTTTGTTCGTGTTTTTTTTAATTCGCAGACGGCGAACAAATTGATCGGATCAATGTTTTCATGAATGTTCGGTTAATATGTTCCACCGTGTATTAAACCGCTTCGAAGTTGCTGTATTCACGAGATGGAATATCAGGCTGTCAAAATTGCAAAAGGCCCCTACACGGTAAAATCCCAGCAACCGGCGTGGCCGTCTGTAAACGGGAATTCTATCGAGCATTTCCGGCCTGCTCCCCTAACATTCATCGGGCCAGTACTATACTTTTTGTAGATCATGTCTTTCCATTTGAGCGAAGTCTGTATCACTACAACACTGCGTAGTGGACGCTTACATCTGGCTCCCTTGATTTGATATTATTGTTGTTTATTTCTTTGTTCGTGTAGTTTCGCTTTTATTTTCGGGTGTGTTTTGCGTTTAGTGTAGTCCTCCTGCAGTTACTACTGTTAAAAGAAATTTAGGACTAGAACTAAACAGTCATGTACATTTTTCAACAATAAATCTCCACAAACTTGAAAAGTTTTCTTCGCGTTTTATTTATCTATAAATTAGTAAATGTTTTAATAATGTTCGGAACCAGTCGTTCACTTAGGGTATGCATTGTGGTTTCTTCTCCGTAGGGAGTGCGCATGTCAAGAGAGTGCGTTGATCGGTAGTGATGTAACAAGGCCTCTTTTGTGGAAACTGGACACTTATGGTAGGCCTTACTGTAGAATTTGGCAACCTTATGTACGTCCATAAAACACACAAATTCCGGCTTTACCAAGACCTTTGAGCGATTTGGAGTAACTCTGGTATGCGTAGTTTTCAACAAATACGTCATGTTGTACTTCATTGCGTCACTTCTACCGGTAAAATTTTTAGCGGTTGAGTTAAAAAATGTAGGAAAAAATGCCGAAGTAAAAGATGCCGCGGCACAGTTTTTATTTTGAAAATATTTATCAGTGAGGCCATGCCATGTTTTAAAAACAGGGGAGACAACTACTTCGTCTATGTCAGCGAATAAAACGTATTTTGATTGGTGCATGTTTCTGTACAGACAGTCGTGCATATGCGCCAGTTGTCCATAATAGTAAATGTCAGATGTTTTAATGGGTAAATTCCATTGTTGTATCTTCACTACACAATTTCGTTGATAAAATCTCAACACATCGTCCACTGTGGATTCACGAAAATCATACATAATAAACATTTCCATACCAAACATTCGATCAGTTTCGATCATTTGAATTATCGCCATTTTGTCGTGAATGTCATAAAAAGGTGGGATGCATCGAGTGAAATTACGTTGCGGGATAGTGTGTTTTTGAATATGGAGATAATTTAAAGGGTTCCCCGATGATTCTGTCTCTAGTGTGGAGCTAGACACAACTGAGATTATTTCTGGGTTTTTTGAAGAATTCGCCAGCTTGCAGATGATTATGCCGGAACGGTACCTGAAAAAGACGGACCAATAAGTACAATTAAACCTCGTTATGTCGAAGTCAAGAGGAGATAACAGAGTTAACTATTCGGACTAGACTGGCAATCGTCTTTCCATTGACTTTATCACATTTCTTGGTCGTAAACCAGAGTTTAAAATCTGGGCAAATGAAGCATTTATAAATTGAAAATACATGTATCTAAACCTGACAGGGTGAGGGGTTTAATATGTCTGTTCCCGAATCGCTATACAGATAAATAATACATCTTTAATAATAAATACTTACTTATATCCCCATATTTTGGGTTCAGGTATATATTCTAATACAGTTGGGTAGAGAACATACTGTTCGGCTACTGTATGAGACACACACTTGAAAACATCCTGCGGTAAATCACCGCGCAATATGGCTATAATCCGTATAACAGGTGCGTCTCTGTTGTCGTAAAACGCAGAATAGACGTATGACTCATTTACATCACCCACTGGCTGAAACCCAGATTTTTCTGTGGAGTCTTTACCGTTCCCCGTCGATGATCGTGTGTTCTTCTTAAATGGTATAAAACGCATGTTATTCACATATATTCCCATTATAAATAAACTTAGTAAACTAGCAACAATAATCGTACAAAATAAAAATCGAAAACGCGTGTTCATTTTGATTCGGATAATTTCCCGTCTTTCAGTATAATATATCAGTTGAATAAACACCAGTCCTAAAGGGAACAAATGAAACATATGTTGCCTACGGAAGACCATTTAGGGTCAATCAAATGAAGAATGAAATGAAATAGGGTTTAGCTGTTCTGCTCCGACAGCCCTAATGAGTGAAATTATGCCCGGACAGCAGGGCTACATCATATTCTTATGTACAAGGGGCCTCGGCTTTTGGTCCGATCCGGACGACTATACGTTGTCCCTCGCCAGGGAGGGGGGGTCAAGCCGGAAAATGCAAATGTTTTACGCTGTGCACCTGTTATATATACGGATAAGAGTAGGTCATCGAGCCGCTGCCAGGGCGAATTTCCCTCATATCACACTGCACGGTGTATGTCCGTCTTCATTGGCCAAATAGGACGTTAAACCCCATTTCATTTCATTTCTTACTCACTTCCTTTTTCATTGAAACAATTATAGTTCTGATTATCGCTAATTACGAAACAGTTGACACATCAATACGAAATAATTTCAACCCAACACAGCCAAGTGGTTCTGGGATAGTAAATACGAAATTGTATGAAAGTTTTTAATTAAAATTCGTTATTGCGACATAGTTTTGATTAAATTGTGTTATTACGAGAGAGTTTTGATTAAAATTCGTAATTACAAGATAGATTTGTTTAAAATTCGTAATTACATTTTTTTTCTCATTTGGTCTTCCGTACTTGTATAAGAGGAATAAGAATGCGCTGGCTTAACTTGACATTAGCCGGTACACACAATGCAATGCAATGTCGGATAAAATAAGAGTAACCGAAGAAATCAAGTCTGATATGACAGTTTGGTTATCTTTTTTGGATGAATTCAAAGTTATTACTTATTTTCCTGAGAAAAATTGGTCACACAACACAACATTAAGACTTTTATTTACAGTGTCTGTTCTCACAAACTAGGTTGTACAGCATATTTTAACTCATCTTGGGAAGGTGATCCAATGTAGAAAGATATCTCACTATTAGAGCGTATACCAATTGTATTAGCAGTAACTATCAGGGCGAAATCTTTAATGAATAAGAAAAGTTTTATTTCACACCGATAATTGTAGTAACAATTTTAAACACACGAACACCTAAATCAAAACAAATCTTGAAATAAATCCGTCCCTTAGTTCTTGTCCTCTTAAAATCTAATATTGCATTTAAGGTTTAGCACATTAAAGGTATAGATAATAAAATAGCAGATCTTATTTCTCATAAACAGTGGTTAAAGTTCCGACAAGAAGTCCGGGAAGCCAATAAAGATTCCCAACCAATACCAGTACTCTTTTACAGAATGATATCCAATTTGAAGTGGGGCGTTTTTTTTAGATGCATCCATGTGGCAAAACACCTATGCCGCATATCAAACTGGTTTAGCGACCTTTGAGAAAATGTTCGGTCAGTTTACATCTTTTCTGTATTTGGCCACCTTCACTCGATCATGTAATGTGTTTTATTTGATATCTTTCTCTGATGAATTTAACATATTATACAGTTAGATCTTTCATTTCAGCGATTGCCTTTAAAAGCAAAGTTATGAATAAGCCGGGTGTTACACAAAACTTGATAATGTCAACTCAGCTGTGCCATATCATTGCCAATAAATCAATTTTAATTCATAAAATTATTCCTTAATCTTTTCGTAAACAACAATTGGTATATTGGTCGAGTAATTTACAGCTACAAGAAGTTTCTATCTAATCGAAAATTCCAATAAACAATGTGCAACAGGTGGTAGACAATATTTAATGTTGTTTAAAAGTGTTCAGAAATGAAATTGGGTTTACGTCCTACTGTTCTGCTCCGACTGGACTAATGAAGACGGGCACACGCCACACAGAGTGTTATGAGGGACATTTTGCCCGGGCAGCGGCACTATGGTCTACTCTTATATCAAGTTCCAACTGCCAAGGGATTTGTAACGTGCACGCCAATGTGTACACGGGACCTCGGTGTTTCGTCCCATCCGAACCACTATACGTTGTCCCTTGCCAGGCCCTCTGTTCTGCAACACTGACAATGGGGAACCAAGCCGGAAAATCCCGATGAACTTTCTCGGGCAACATAGGGATCGAACACGGAACCTCCAGGTTAGCGTGCCAACGTCTTACTCATAAACTAATTATGCAGATAAAATAATATATGGAAGGACAGCCGGGATATAAAATGATATATATTTTGTGTGCAATAAGTGTCCTGGAAACAAATGGGTTCACTGACCACCGACATCAAATGTCTGGTTCTACAAATTTAGACATAGGGATATTTGTCACCGCTACGAGAGAATAACTCCTTCTCAGATAAATCCTATGCGGAACAGACACCAAAAATGCCAATAAACAATTCATTTTTAGTTCAAGGGGAAAGCGCTACAGGTGCTAGGTCATATTTAAATGAGCCTGTGGCTACGATTGGTGTACATGATAGTTGATACCATGAACGGACTAGAGGACGTGAAGGGTTCCCAATCTATGGGCGGAGGTGCGGTTGGTTCTGTTTAACCGGCGCGAGTGGTGCCTGTAAATGGGGCCTTGTAGCTGGTGGTTCTGGCTTATGCACATTTTTAACGTGCGGCACATGGTTAACGTGTGGCTATCTTAACAGTTCATCAAGACCAACGTAAGTTCATGACTAAAAGGGGGCCCAAAACTACGCAAAAACATTAGCTAGTTTAGAAACCCCTGAAACTACCATACTCCTTTTCAGTCCATCACTGGAATTGATAGCACAAAGGCTGTAAACACGGATCGCATAATCATTTCTGATCTAATAATATTATTAGGGTGCAAATGCGTAACAACTGGATATATCGAAACCACTTTTACCCCGTAGAAGATGGTGCAAAGACATATCAAATGAAGACAATTGCACTTAAAAAAAAGAACGCTAAACAGATGTTCTGATTTCGTCAATTTATTATTGAACCCAAAATAGAAAACCTTATTAGATATTTTAAAAGCAATATCCACAGGGACAAAATCGCAATTATGAATTCTATTTTGATTGTCGCTTTGAATGTAATTCATCTGTGCTATTCAAAGTTAGTTTTGGGATTCGCAATTGAACTCAGTAATCCCAAAAACCTGATATAAAACGTATTACAAGCCATATCCAACGCAGGACTTGAGTTTGGCGGCCATTTTGGATTTCGAAATTAATTTTTTGAGATCAGAATTCCACCAATTGACATTAAAATCCGTTAATTTAAAATCTGACATTTTGGATTCCATATTGAATGCCATTTTGAATTTCTACCATGTTGGATTTTCAAAATTCATTTTTAAATTCAGGGACAACGGATACCGTATAAAAGACAGAGTAAAGACACATCTTACGAGATAGTGATTATAGACGAAGACAATGCCACTTTAGTACCAAATTTGGCATTCGTTTTGAAAAAAAAACATGTGCAAATTACTTATCATTTAATGGTTTCGTCAATTTTTTTACTTTATTTTTGGAACATTTCGCCTCTATAACAATTTTGTCCCACCACTGAAACGCACTGGTTACGAGATGTTGTAATCAGAAACTTTATGTTAATTAGGTCATTTCACCCTGGCCGACTTCGTCCGAATATGGTTAAACGCAACTGCGTTGGTTTCGTTTCAATTTGTTTGGGGTCACTCCGCTTTTTAGATTAACTTGTCCCGCCTAAAGAGGTATAACGTTAAAATGACTGAAGTAAAGGTGTTGACAGGACGTTTAACTCTGGTGTGAAGTGTTGACAAGACGTTCAACTCTGGTGTAAAGTGTTGACAAGACGTCTAACTCCACAATAACTTGCCTTAAACGTTGGTAACGTCAGAATGACTGGGGCAGGGTGTAAAATTGTTTAACGCCATACATATTTTGACTGGGTATTTCCCATTGTTTCGAATAACAGAATGAAGTAAATGACTTATTTTCATTATACTATTTATGTTTTCGTTTTCAGTCAAATACAGTGAATGTTTGGAAGACAGCGTTACCAGCGCCATACTCCCTGAGCCACCGCGGCTACAAAGTCTGACTGGAGGCGAAGTAAAACCCCATTTCTTTTATCTCTGTTTTCAGTCCAATACAGTTGATGTTTGGAACAGAACAATTCTACCAGAAGTGTGCGTCGTCGTTTCTTTCTTGTGGCGTGTAATGACCGCAGAACCTTGGGAGGGTACATGGGGCATCTGAGTCCATGTCTGAAGGATATTTACTCTTTTAATTGTATAGGTCCTCTCCTAGTTTCTCTCATGGATCTTAATTGCCCCCCACCCCACCCAGACATGCACCTGAATCGCCCTCATGTTAACTCTTTTAATTATTTATAAATCCGAAAGAAGTCGATTTCCTTGTATCTGAGTCCATGTCTGAGGGATATTTACTCTTTTAATGTATAGGTCCTCTGATAGGTTCTCTCATGGATATTTCCTGTCCCCATCCCACCCCAGACACGCACCTAAATCGGTCTCATATTAACTCTTTTAATTAGTTATAAATCCCAAGACCTGGTGGATATGTTTCTCCCATGTCGGAATTCGACAAATGGATGATCTTTGCGTGGTTCCATTGCCCTAATTATCAGCGTATTGCCCCAATCCGTTGACACAAATTCATAGCGAAAGTGAAATAAGCAGAAATGGCGCTTTAGATCACAAGGTTTGCCAATGAGTCAAGATCGCCTGTCCAACCTCTTTGGCTTTCTCCGCGTTCTCCGGTTTCCTTCCACTGCTAAACGTCTTCCCCGAAGTGAACTACTGAAATAAAGAGTTCGACCCGCGAGCTACAACAAATTATCAAAGGTTATTTCCTAGAAATGAAATGAAATGAAATGAAATGGGGTTTAACGTCCTACTGTTCTGCTCATAACCTGGGCTAATGAAGACGGGCATACGCCATACAGTGTGCTATGAGGGAAATTTTGCCCGGGCAGCGTTATTTCCTAGGGTCGAACAACAGTTAGCTAGATATAGGGTGCCCCACCATGAATAAATATCTCGACAATTACGCCACAATATTTTTATATATACCAAGCCTTAAATCAGTTTCGCACATTTAAAAATAATAAACGATCATGTTCTACCTAATACCGGGAATTCTCGTATTTAAGCCCTGGGCTTAATTTCGAATTTGACCATGTCAGTGATGAAACATTTCTTATGAAATTAATCCTAGGGCCCAAATTCGAAAAGAGGAAAAACGACAAACATTTGTTGTTTTTTATAATTTTAAATGGAACGAATCAAATTCATCAACAAAAATGGCTTTTAAGACACAACTGTGATACACCGTCACATAAATGTTCTGAAATACAAAAAGAAACTGTCCATAAACTTTAAATTTCATTTACTAGTATGGTGAGCATCCATTACCCATCAATGTCGAAGTCTGAACTGGAATCCTCGAACGGGTCGTCTCTGAGTTGGTCCTCACCTGGCAGTACAAGACCGGATTGTGACTGGAGAACATCTCGTAGCCTGTAGTTCACATGTGGTTTGAAAATTTAAAAGGGAGACCATTCTAAATAAATTTTAAATTTAAGCCCATGGGCTTAAATTCGAAATTTAAACTCGTTATTTAGCCCATGGGCTTAATAACGGCAGGGCTTAAATACGAGGATTCCCGGTAAGCGATGACCATTTAACCATCGATAAATAATAGATTGAAAAATGGTTACGAGTGTCGGCCATAACATCCGGGCACTTTTGTGTAAAAAATAGGTCACATGCCCTGCTTGTTTTGAAATTAGTTTCGCTTAACCAGTCTACCGACCATTCTACGTCTGATTGACAGGCCGGGATAATCAAGGCTACTGTTTTACGAAACATAACAGAAAGCTGGAACAACAATTGTTTTAAGAACCTTGTAAAAGTAAAATGAAACTACTGCTAGTATCATGTTCTTTTAACGTGCATGGTTAGTCAGAAATCCTAACTAATTAATGATAAAGAAATTTAAAAAATAAAACGAACGTAATTTCTAAAGCTGCTCTAATAACCAATAAGCTAAATATTATTGATATTCGGAATCGTCAACAATAGATTTTTTACGGCTTTTAATAGTTGATAAATGTCTAGAGAATTTCACGTGCGATGGCTATTTATAGACTCATAGACTCTACAATGAATATTATCACACTGCATGGTTAGTCAGAAATGACATCGAGACAAGCCACTGAAGTGTGCACATTCGCCGTGTCTAGTTCAGCTTTCTGTAGGGAAAATTTTCGCTGCACGGAGCACCCTACTAGTTACATTATTAATCAAGGATAAAGGGGAACGTCCACTTGACACAAACTAAGTCATTTCGGGGCCGAGATGCAAAATGGGAACAAATGAGAACGAAAACAGAATTTCAAAAAGAAGAGATCACGGATAGAATTCTAAGTCTTGTATTTTTAATTTATTAAATCCACTTAATGTGAATTACAAACATTCAAATAGATGTGTCACCTATTTAGGGATATTGAAAAGGGACTACTAAACTGGTAATAAAGACTGCATGTTAAAGGAATAATTGTATTTCATATTAGAAAATTCATTGTGGCAAAATGTGACCTGTTGAAAATGGCAATTAGATTGCATATGAACTAATGTTTAATGTGCCATACTGTTCACTTAAAATCTACGTATTTTATATATTTTAGTGTTAAAAATTAAGATTGAAATTAAATGCATATGAAATTGATTGACGAGGTATACTTTTTCAATTAATTTACTTATAAATGGATTATCTCCCCTGGCAAATAATTTTGCGGCGGTTAGTCGGGAATTTAAGAGAGAGAGAGAGAGTAATTCGTTCCACTGATTTCAGACCATAAAAGTAGCTAAGTATTTTACTCAATATCATCCAAAGTCTTCGACGTTGAAAACACGAATTATTTTGGAATTTAAATCAACATTGGTGTTGTGATCTTACCGGGAAAAGATGGGCTTCTAATATCCAATATTTAAGGCCAAAACATTGTTTTACTATTGGTACTCGAATCGTTTTCTATAATGCGTTTCAGCCTCATTTGTAACAAGGGACTCGAAGAATGAGGCTAGACATATTCCATAAGTAATGTCAAACGGTGACGCAATATTCTTATCTGGAGAGCATTCGCAATAAATACCTTCGGTGTAGATTGGAATAATTTAGACGCTAGAAATTGCCATTCGATTGAGACTTATGGCGTATTTTGCCGAACATAACTGATTAGAAATTGCAGTAAAAAAATAGAAACGATTGAATGTAAATCAGTTTATATACATTCACATTACATTATTATATGTGTTGCGACCCATTTGTGACAATTTCTAGGTCCAGAATATTAGCGATTTAACTCCTATAATACTATAACCCGCTTCGCCTGACTGAACGAACTAACGCCTACCTGCATTACTCATTCAAGTAAACCAACTTACATAATTACCTGAAAAACATCAAGAGACAATCTATCGTGAGAGATTTATCAATTGTTTACACGAAGATAGAATACAACGCAATAAACCAAAGTCACCAATCGGATTAATTCAGGAGGCATTATAGTTGGTTTAAACAGTTTTTATTTAACATATAATTACATACGATATACAATACATAATAAATTATATGGATTCGGATTGGTTGGTGACGATGCAAAGGCTTGTCCCTTACATATATGCTATTACCTCAAGATGACGGCCTGTAATGCGATTAACAAAACATTCGATGCGATAGTCAGGCTGGGAGAAAGAAACAACCAACAACAACGACTTATGTGGACATCTCATTTATTCAAGCAAATACATCACACGGTTTATTCAAAAGCCTGCACTCAAAAACAACCAATCCGAACACAGCGATTCGAGTTTCACCCGTTAGTACGTACCATTCACACAAAACCTTGGACCAGTTCGTATAAATATGCGACATTTCGTCCAACTTGGCATTTGGAATTCGAAGCAAGTAGAGCCACTGTCCGGGCAAAACGTCCCCATCGCACAACATGGATGACTGTATTCATTATCATGGTTAATACAGAAAAGTAGGACATAAAACCTCATTTTATTTCAGGGGGATCACGTGGCTAAGTGGGTAAGACGCTGGCTCGCTGGTCTGGAGGTCGGGTGTTCGACCCCGGCATTGGCCGAGATAGTTCATCCAGATTTTCCAGCGTGGTTTCCTCTTGTCAGTGATGCAGGCGGAGGGCCTGACAAGGACAGCTGTCTAGTCGTTCGGATGGGACGAAAAACCGAGGTCCCGTGTACAAATTGGCGTGCACGTAAAAGATCCCTTGGCAGTTGGAATTCGATTAAGAGTAGGCAGTAGCGCCGCTGCCCGGGCAAAAATCTCTCTCATATATAGCACACTGTATGGCGTATGCCCGTCTTCATTATCCCAGTTAAGGAGCAAAAGAGTAGGACGTTAAAAGCCATTTCATTTCATTCCATTTCATTCATTTCAATTTATTGACTAAAGAGCTAGGTGAGTGTTTCATGACAGATGTCTTCATGCGTTGGTGTGCACGTAAAAGAACCCTTGGTAGCGGTCCGTGTCCGGTCAAATTTTCGGTAATAGCATATTACATCAGCCCAGTTGGTGCAGAAAGGTGGTACGTTAAATCCCATTTCATTTCCCATACCTCACTCGGCGAACTGTCGCTTTAAGATACAGAAGTCATAAGTTGTTTATGTGATCAGAAAAGTTTCTGGTTGATTAAAGTCGTCCATTGTACTCCACTTAATTTAATCCCATCAACATGGCCATCGGGAGTATAACACGTAATTAATTCTATTATTTACAGTAAACCCAGTGTTATGGTACGTCGTAGTTAATTGGTGAACAATAGGTCAGGTTTGTTAAGGATCTCGAAACCCCATTTGTTCAGTGAACGCCGTTCTGATACAACAACAAAATGGGTGCCGTTATGAGCTACACAAGGTCAGATTTTAAAGTGCACGTTTTTACCGGAGATAAGAAAAACGCCGGTACCGATGCTAATGTGACAATAATTCTACATGACGAAGATGGGAATTTCACTGATGAAATAATTCTAGACAGATTCTTGAAAAATGATTTTGAAAGGGGCAAGATGAACACTTTTCGCGTCCCACGTTCCAAGGGAGAAGCGTCGACACTCGGCAAAATCGTCAAAATTGAGTTTTGGCGAGATGTTGATGGAGTGAGCAGTGACTGGTTCGTGGATAAAGTTTTAATTGAGAATGTTGTGACCCGGGATATTTTTATTTTCCCCATTTTTCGTTGGATTAAAGCCGGATATCATTATATGATAAAACATTTAGATACCTCGTTACCACAGTTTGATGAGCATCACAAACAGAGGAAAATGGAACTAGAGAATAAAAAAGAAGTTTATGAATATGAACAGAAGTCGCCAGGTTTACCTGTGCAGGTATGTATTGTGTAAAACATAATATCAGTCTCCATGGTCTGAGATATCACCCTCGGTGGAAACCAAGACCGAATTAAGTTTGTATAGGGCCACTCACTGAATATGTCATGGGATCCTTTCATAAACGACGAAAAGTGGCAATTTGTATGTCAGTATGATAGATAGATATATTCATTTGACATAAATATATTCAACATAATAAATGACACATTTACTTACAATATTTTCTTAATACTGAGGGCTCCTGGTAGCAACCCAGTCAGAACTCCCCCAACCCCCTTTAATACAGGCCTGGTGGAAGATGGCGTTAAACCCTTAGAATTAACAAACGAAATCAGTCACTTTCATTACTTTGCATATAATACAAAGTGAAAATAAATAGCGTTCGATTTTGTTTTTAAACAAAAAAGAGACCTTTTTCGGTTATCATAAACAAATCCGATTTGAATATTGTTTTAAGTCAGCTAACTCGTATGTTATCAACCCGGTAACAAGTGAGATAAATTGTCTATTGTCAACTCGGTAACAAATATGCAAAACTCGTCTGTAGTCAACCCCGTAACTAAGTCAGCCAAACTCGTCTATAGATAAACTCTCTAGTCATCGGATGGCCGTGATAGTGAATGGACTAAAACACAATCGCCATTTGATAATTTAATGTAAAATGGATAATCGACTGAAATTATAGCAAGAAGGTCAGTTCCTTATCGAAATCTTACATAGTGCATCTTTAATACTCGGGTCGGTGACGAGTAGGTCTCCAGATCGATTCCGGTGCTGTCCGAGAACGTTCCTCGAGATATTCCACCCAAGGAAAGGTGTCTAGTCATTCAGAAACCAGGGTCCCGAAAATCACATTGGCAAAGATCCCCCGATAGTTAGAAATTGAAATAATAGTAGAAAGTAGAGCGACTGCCAGGGGAAAGTTTCCCTCATGCACATCTTTATTAGCCCAGTTGGTGCAGATAAGTAGAACGTTAAACATCATTTAATTTGTGTAAATTGATCGTTTAAAATACTATAGCTAATTCTTTATTTTAGATCAAGAAAATGCCAGCAACTGAACAGTTCTCCTTTGATTACATGGTGAGTTTTGTTGGACTACTGTAGGCCTGCTTCAATAATCCGTATTGTCACTCCCATAAATACATTTTTGATCACATTATCTTTATTGTCTCATTCGCTCGACTAGCCCCGGCAGCAAAAGACCCGACTTTTACTTTGATTAGACCGACCATCAAATACTTGGATAATTTTGATTGGTAGATTGGGCTGGAGTCCTCGAATCACAACCTGCATAATATTAGTGAACCCACCTTATCAGCCCAATAAAACATAACCGAATGTTATGTAACTTTTATTAGACTGGCACGAGACCCAGGGGCGGATCTAGGAATTTTGAAAAGGGGGGCGCTGCAAAATGAAGGCATTGACCGCGGAGACGGGGCACGCCGCTGAGGGGGGGGGGGGGTCCCAAGAAAATTATCCGTCATTTCCTTGCATCTGTAGCCATTCCAAGAGCTATTTCCCAGACTGGTGTGTTTGAGTCGATGGTTTGAGTCATTTGGGATCCCTACAACGGGTTGGGAACGGACATATTTGAGTCTAAGAAAAGGCACTTTCAGCAGTAAAAAAGAGCACTCGAGCCCCACGCGCCCCCCATTGAATCCGCCTCTGAGACCCTTTCTTATTAGACCGACCCCTTCTTATTAGACTGGCCCCTTCGTATCAGACTGACATTAAACCCCTTCGTATTGAACTGGCCCCTTCTTATTAGACTAGCATGTACCCCCTTCTTATTAGATACGAAACAAGGTCTACCATTGGTCCCTATTTCAGTTGATTGTTATACGTTTATTTTATTTGTGTTCCAGTGGGATATTTTGAGAACAAAAGCAGAACTTTTAGCCACCAGTAAATGTATAAAGTTAAAAGCCGGCAGATGGAAAAGTTTAAAACACATCAATAATATTTTCACAAAGAACGTTTTTCATTTACCGAAGGTAATATTTTTGTAATTGTGGGTATGTTTTGAAACAGGTGGGTCGGGACCCAGGTCCATAGCGATTGTAATTTTCCCTAATTATCGGTAAAAATCCAAGATTTAGGCTCCGACTTGGGCTAATGAAAACGGGCATACGCCATACAGTGTACTGTGAGGGAAATTTTGCCCAGACAGTGGCACTACGGAATTCCAATTTCAAGGAATGTTTTACATACACGCCAATGTGTACCTCGGTTTTTCGTCCCATCCGAAAGACTATACACTACCCCTTGCCAGCACCTCTGCCCTACACCACAGACAAACTCTCGGCCAACGCCGGGATCTGGAATGGAACCCATGATTTACATTAGATAACAAACCTTGATACGACAACGAATGTTACGTCGCCTACACAACCTCGTTGGTTTTCTCCTCGTTCCCCAGCCCCACCGTTGCTAAAGACACATATGTATACCCTATTAGTGCCGAAAAGATCTTATATTTTCGTATCCTACACGCAACAATAGACTAAATGGGAATAACTCTCTCTCTCTCTCTCTTTCTTACAGGGTGCTGGTGGATGGAAAGATGACGTTCATTTCGGTCTTCAAAGAATAGCTAGTGCCAATAGTTCTCTGATCAAATTATGTACGGCTATTCCAGAGAAGTAAGTGCTGTTTTACAAGTTCCTATTTATATTATTTTAATGTATTGTTTAAATTCGTTGATTTTCAATCCCTTGAACACTTCAATAGATTCAGGACCGGATTAAGACATATAGAGACCCCAAGCACTTAGAGAAGATTTTGGTGTTCTTAATTAATATTTCAATTGAATATTTTGAATTCGTCATCTAACGAAGCAGAAATTATAAGGTAGCACCTTTCCCATGATGCAATAATAAGTGCGTGCCTATTTTGCCTAATGGTTAATCCAGTTCTGAATATTTTAATCTCTAAAAGGAATATCAGTCCAGTTCCATTTAGTATTTACCAAAACAGAGATGAACTGAAAATTGCGCAAGATTCGTCAGACCATATAAACAAGCCAGCGCCACCTATATGGGTTATGTGAATTCTTTTGATGGACTTCTTTTATTTGAGATTAAATCCAGAGGCGTTGTAATATGTTTTTTGTTTTCTTAATAAAATGTTGTTTGATAGTATAAGACAGTGCAGGTCACTCTTATTCACATTGTAAGATAGCCACGGTGGCTCAGTGAGTAAGAAGTTGGCTCGCTAAACTGAAGGTCAACTGAAGGTGTTTACAGAGAAAGTTCATCGCTGTGTGCCGCCGTGATTTCCCGTTGTCAGTGATGTAGGACAGAGGGGCGGGCAAAGAAAAACGTATAGTCGTTAGAATTAGATAAGCAGCCGAGGTTCGGTATACATAAACATTGGCGTGCACGCAAAAGAATCCTTGACAGCTGGATTTTTATATAAGAAGAGTAGATCGTAGCGCCTCTGCAAATTTCACCCACCGCACTCTGTATGGCGTATGCCCGTCTTCATTATCCCACTAGGTGCAGAACAGTAGGACGGTAAAACCCATTTCATTTCATTTCAGACTAGCAGTTAGCGAAGAGATGCTCAAACCATTATTAGAAGGAAATACGTTAGAAAGTTTGATGAAACAGAAACGATTATTTATCTGTGATTTAGAGATATTAGAAGGTCTTTCATGTAAACCTGGATTTACGGTAAATATATATTTTATAACTATTAAGCTTTTAATCCGTATTGATTGCGCTATGAGTTATATTTTATATTAATGATCTTTTAATCCATAATGATTTCTCTCTGATATACGGTATGTATATATTTATCAATTAATCACTTAATCTATTTTGATTCCTTTCTGATTGACTATAGATAAATATATATATTAATCAATCTTTTAATTCCTATTGATTCCTCTCTGATTGACGAAAGATATATATCTGATATCGATTACCTCCTGGAAGCTTGTATCTCTATTATTATCCCTTGCATTGTATTAATCAGCTTGGTGCCGAAAGAAAAGTTCAATACCATTTTATTTGGGATTTATTTTCAGGTGTGTGTACCGATTGCATTATTTATGGTTGACAACGACAACAAATTGCGACCGCTAGCCATACAGTTATTTCAGCAGCCTAGTCCCGATAATCCAGTACGTTATTATACCTCTTTACTGGGTAAATGAAGACGGACATACAGTGAGCTATGAGGGAAATTTTGCCCGGACAGCGGCTCAACGGCCTACTTTTAAATCGAATTCCAATTGTCAAGGGATCTTTTACGTGCACACCAATGTGAACACGGGACCTCGGTTATCCGACCCATCGAGAGAGAGAGAGAGATGGGTTTAACGTCCACTCGACACAAACTAGGTCATTTCTGGACTAACATATGGTTTTAATTTTATTTCAATAATTCGCTTGCGTATAGGGGTCTTTAGCAGTGGGAGGAAACCGGAGGACCCAGAGAAAACCCACGAGGTTGGACAGGCGACCTTACTCCTTGTCACGTACAACCGGGGATTCGAAACCACGCCAGTCGACTCAATGACAGACTTTATGGTACAGCGCGCACGCTAACCATTCAGCCATCCACCCCCCCCCCCCCCGACCCATCAAAATACTTGTCCCTTGCCAGGCCTTCGGTTTTGCACCACTGAAAAGGAGGAACCACGTCGGTAAATCCCTATGGGCTTTCTCAGCCAACGCAGGGATCGAACACGGGACATTCGGATTAGCGAGCCAACGTCTTACTCACTGAGCCATCGTGCCACCTCCACCCCCACCCCCACTTTACTTCAGACCCCACTCGCTTTCTTGTTGATTGAGATTATACAAATATACCTGGAAATTAGGCGTGGTTTGCTGTCGTCCAGAGCAACTCGACTAGCGCCGTTAGCAAACAACAACGTTTCCCTATCAGCTCCAAAGACATTAGTAAGCAGGTAAATATCGAATAAGGCGCTTCGAATTCGTTACCAAACTTAAAACGACTCGGACCTCCATCTTGCTTCATTGATAAGAGTGAAAACGGGCACGAAAATCCAAAGGGACTTTCTCGGCCAACCCTGGATTGAACCTGGCCACCCAGTTTATAAAATTAAATGTTACCATATATTATTATGTCTACCCTAGGTAATTTCTATACGACATGGCTAGTCTTCTGTCTACTTAAAGGCTCAATACCACTCTTGTTGTAACTGAATTATATGTCCCAATCTTTATTCTGGTCAACAATTTGTACTATTTTAGAATATTTCAATTAATTGATGATACAAATTTCATCTTAACACACTTTATTTAAAAATTTTGAAAAATTCAACACAATGGTTTGAAACGTCTAACGTAAAGCTTTTCAAATGAAACTTCGATTTAAAAATATTTTCGAACCCTCTGGACAAGTAAAATAGGATGTAATGGATAATTTACACAACAGGTAGGACACTTAAACATCTATTACTTAGATAGAGATATTATTTATTTTCTGGAGCTTTCAAGCCAGCAAGAGTGTTATTGTCCCTTTAAGTCTGTACACGTGGAATTCAACGAACAATCTCAGTCATTATATTTCAATTGTTGCACTAAACATATTAATTTTTCAGGTATTTTTACCAACAGATCATCCTAATACGTGGATTTTAGCTAAAATGTGGTATAATAATGCTGATGCCGCTTACCATCAATCACTAACACATCTTGGTAAGTAACCATAGTAACACATCTTGGTAAGTAACCTTAGTAACACATCTTGGTAATTACCCCTAGTAAGACATCTTCGGTAAGTAACTCTAGTAAAACATCTTGGTAAGAAACCATAGTAACACATCCATAAGTTACACATACCATCAATCACTAACACATCTTGGTAAGTAACCATAAGTAACACATCTTGGTAAATAACCATAGTAACACATCTTGGTAAATAACCATAATACTTGGTAAGTAATAATAATAACATTATCTTGGTAATCAACATATTATGGGTTATTGTTAAAGGCTTTATAAATGCAAACAATGCAATTATATCAATTAAAAGGAGAAGTCAAGCATTGTTAGATTCTTCGTATATTATTCGTTAGCTAGTCTTAAGGGTGCCTTATGTAAGACTAAGATAAAGAGCTGATAGAATAGTGAATAAATAGAAAACAAAAAAGTAATATAATATGTTGAAATTTTCAGTCAAATTATTTCATTCTGATCGGAGGTATGGTCGATTGCAAAACAGTGTAGTCACGATTGTCACAGCTACCGTTGTTACGATGATAAACATCCATTTTCAAATTAAATCATTAACTGCCAATCGTATTTAAATCCGTTGAAAATCTACAGCATCGAGAGTTGATTATGGTTTTGGCAAGTCTAATTAATAATTTATTAAAGAAAGGCATGCAAAAGGCAGATTTAGTTTTTGAATAATGTATCTTTAAAGTAGTTTAATTAACAAATTAACACGCCACATTGATGTTGTGATGGTAACTGTCGGTCATTGTTTATAAACAAGACTGTTCGCGTGCTACGGTAGCGCCTCTTCGTTTACCGTTACATGTGTCTGAATGTGAATTCATTGGTAGAGCCTGCACGTGTGTTGGTTGCATTGTTTACACTAGACGACAGTTCCCCTCACAAGGTGTGGTATATTGTGTATTATAGACCAAATACGCCAGGTTCATTATGGTTGTAACTACTTGAATACTTTTTGTATTGTTTTTGTTCAAGAGTCAACGGTAATGGTTGCATTTTCTCAAACAGGGCTTACACATCTTTTTGTACCATGATATATAATGTGCGTCAGTGTCTGTAATGACTAGAACAATATGTAATAGTTCCATTTATTTTACAGGACTTACGCATCTTTTAATGGAGGGAGTAACCGTAGCAACACATCGCAATCTTTCACAGTCACATCCTGCTTTCAAGCTTTTAGCTCCACATTTTCTGTATTTGATAGCTATCAATACGTAAGTCACTTTCCCTTGACTGGGTTATAGCTACGAAACCAAAAAAAAGTTACTTTTCATATTGTTGGTTTTTTGGGGGTTTTTTTTGTTCTTATGTAAGACTGTAGTAAGTTTTTCACATAGTTGTGTTTTATGCAAACCATTCGTGCCTCTTCTATGAGTCACCCACCAGCGTCCACATTACGAGGTTGAAATATAGTTCTGCAATGTCTGAAATTAAACTTTATTTTATATTTACGATATTCTTTCTTATTTTTTGTTATTGTAGACGAGGTTTAGAGGTGTTGATATCAGAAGGTGGTTGGGTAGATAAAGTTATGAACACTGGTATCAAGGGAATGTTTGAATTAATAAAAAGAGGGTAAGTTTGGTGTATTTTATGTCAGTAATCCGCACGGGCTAGGGCAGCAGTGGAAAGGCAGTACTACTGCTTGTGACGTCGGATTGAACAACGAACTTCCGTCTACCATCAACGTGTCTTCTATAGCATTTATAAGTGTTTCCCCATGTACCTGGCTGAAATGAAATAGGGTTTAACGTCCTAACTGTTCTACTCCGACTAGGCTAATGAAGACGGAAAGGTGCCATACAGTATGTTATGGGGGAAACTTTGCCCGGACAGAGGCCCTACAGTCTACTTTTATATTGAATTCCAACTGCCAAGCTTTCTTTTACGTGCACGCCAATGTGTACACGCGACACCTCGGTTTATCGTCCCATCCGAACGACTATACGTTGTCCCTTGCCAGGCCAACGCAGGGATCGAACACGGGACGTCCAGGTTAGCGAGCCAACTCACTGAGCCACCGTGGGCCCCTCTTCACTTATATAGAGAGCCATCTTTCACACACGTGTTCAGGCGCGCTTTCCAATAAGTATAGAAAAATATGAATATGTATAAAATCATTAAAAGAATATATAAATATCTATAAAAAACAGTAAAAAATAATAAATATCTATAAAATCATATAAAATCAGTAAAAAGTAAATACATATCTATAAAAATATATAAAAAAAAGTAAATAAGTTTCTTTAAAATCAGTAAAAACGAAATAAATATCTATAAAATCTATAAAAAGTAGCCTAAATAAAATTAGTAAAAAAAACACCTAAATAAATATCTATAAAATCAGTAAAAAAAACGAAAAAAACCTAAAAAGTATCTAACAAAAATTAGTAAAAAAAACAATAAATATCTATAAAACCAGTTTTAAAAAAACATATATATTTCCTACTGGCAAAGGTTGCTTTACGCGTACGCCAATGTGTACATGGGTGTACATCGGTTTCTCACTCCATCCGAAAAACTATTCATACTTCCATTGACAGGTTACAGCCGGGATCGAATCCTAGTCTATAGCCCTTTTGCCCTGACCACCCTAATGTGTTTTTGGTGTAGTTTTTGTACTAAATATTACGAATTTATGATTCTAGATTGTATAATATACTTTTTAGAATTGAAAGTTGGTATTTAGATGTAGATGGAACTTTACCAGCAGATCTGAAAAGACGAGGGGTTAGTAAACATAGTTTGACTATCGACATTCATACCGGTCCTTGGTATTTAAAGGAGCTAAATCTCTCACTCTTTATTTTCCATATTATTCAAAAATAAAAACACGAATTAGAATTTAATATTGGTCCATTTCAACGTCCTCCCCGAAGTGAACTATTGAAATAAAGAGTTTGACCCGCGAGCGACAACAAATTATCGAAGGTTATTTCCTGGCGTCGAACAACAGTAACAGTTAGCCAGTTAGATTTTTAATCCGGGATAAAGAGGGTAACGTCCACTTGACACAAACTAGGTCATTTCGGGACTAACATATACAGTGTAGTTCAGTTTTATTTCAATAATTCGCTTGCGCGTGGGGGTCTTTAGCAGTAGGAAGAAACCGGGGGACCCGGCGAAAACCCCCGAGCTTGGACAGGCGACTCTACCCCTTGTCACGTACAACCGGGGAATCGAAACCGCACCAGTTGACACAATGACAGATCTAATGATACAGCGCACACGCTAACCATTCGGCCATCCAACCCCATAAAATATTACAGAAGACAATGCGAAAATAATTAGAAATGACTGATTCACAAACGACAAAAGATTAATAATAATTATGAATCATGAATTTCTTCTTTCATAGTTGGATGATCCATGTGTGTTGCCTGGTTACCATTTTCGAGACGACGCCATACTTTTATATCACGCTATACAGAAATATGCATCTAAATATGTTGATTTATATTACGGTAAGTAACACGTCTAATTACGTTTCCATATATCATTGGGGGAGTAGTGGGGGGGGAGTCTAATGGATTCGTCTTGCATCGATCATAAGGTCTGGTAATGAGCCAAATAACCTAGATGGATTTTTTCCGGGTACTTCGGTTTCCCCTCAATGCTATAGGAGACCCCTATGCTAAATAAAATATTGCACCATATGTTAGGCCAAAAATGACATAGTTTGAGCCTTGTAGAGCCAATCAAATACAAAGACTTGTGAATATATTATTATAATTATTATTATAGATACACCAGAGAAAATAAATGGTGATTGGGAATTACAGAATTGGGGTAAAGAATTAGCTTTATCTAGAGAACAAGGTGGTGTAGGACTACTGGTAAGATTTATATCTTGTTTTATTATTTTAGTTTGACCACTTTTTAAGATGCCAGATGGAATTCGAAATAAGAATAAGCCTTACTGCCACTGCCTGGGAACAGTTTCCCTAATAGCACACTGTATGGCGCATGCCTGTCTTTATTAGCCCAGTCAGTTCTTAAAAGTAGGACATTAAACCCTACTGCTGTTTATATATTTTAGGGTATGATTTACTATTGTTTATATATTACAGGGTATGATTTATTGTTAGTATATTACAGGGTATGATTTATTGTTTATAATTGTTTGTATATTACAGGCAATGATTTATTGTTTATAATTGTTTGTATATTACAGGGTATGATTTATTGTTTATAATTGTTTGTATATTACAGGATATGATTTATTATTGTTAAAATATATTACAGGGAATACCAAATGACGGAACATTTAAAACAATAGATGATATAAGTAAAGTATTAACATGTATTGTATATACCTGTAGTGTTTCACATGCGTCAACTAATTTCCCTCAATATGAAGAATACGCCTTTACTCCAAATTATCCTGGTATGATGCGAGGAAAACCACCAAACTCAAAGGTACGGTGATTATATTGTTATATTATATTGTAATATTATATTCTAACTATATCCTAGTATGATGCGAGGACAGCCACCACACACGCTGGTATGTTAATCATTGTAATGTTATATTCTAACTATATCCTATTGTGATTGGAGGACAACCACCACCACACACTGGTATGTTAATCATTGTAATGTTATATTCTAACTATATCCTATTGGGATTGGAGGACAACCACCACCACACACTGGTATGTTAATTATATTGTAATATTATATTCAAACTATGTATTATGCGAGGAAAACCACCATATACATTGCCAACAATTCTTTATATTTTCATAGAATTATATCCACTGTGTATCTCTACAAATTGTTGTATTTCAAAGAATTGTGCCCTAAGCATCGCCTTCAAATTGATGTATTTCATATAATTGTGTCCTGCGTATCACCTACAATTTGTTTTATATATTACGTACAAACTATTGCATTATTTAAAAACACATTTTTTAGATACTATCAATTTGTCTTTTCTAGGACCCCGTAGAAGAATGCCGGATCTTGGCCAGTCTACCGGATAAACCAACAACCCTAGATATTATGGTCGTTACTAAAATATTAAGTGGTCGAGGTACCAAAAGTCTCGGTGATTTTGAAGTTCAATATGTTTTTGATCCGAAAGCCACGGGGATCGTTGATGAGTAAGTATTCTATAAATCGGAGCCCCACTGGCCCAGTAAGGCGCTGACTCGCAAACCATAACACCCGGATGGATGGCTTAGTGGGAAAGGAGCTGGCTCGCCAACCATTATGCCCGGGAGGCTTAGTGAGTAAGACGCTTGCTCGAAAATCACGAGGCCCGGGTGGCTCGGTGATTAAGGCGCTGGCTCGCAAACCATGAGGCCCCGGCTACGATCCTCGTCTTGTTCTTTTTGATTTCCTAACTTAGTTCCCGTTGTCAATGGTACTGTACCTACCCTAAACAAGCCCCTATTTAACAACTGACGCCCTTCACAAATTTCGTAGGAAACACTTGCCTGCGATATCAGTCTGGGTGGAAGCGCACGTTAAGCCCGGCTGCAAAGCAATCCGAATCAAGTCTAAATCTGACACTGCAGTGGGCCCTACTAGCAATATCCAAGATTCCAGATCGGTGTTCAATCTAATAATGACAAGTTTATATATTTTCTTTTTACATATAAGTGTAGCAACCGTTTTCATTAACCCGGTTGGTGTACAACGTTAAACCCCATTTTATTTCATTTCTTTTCTTAATTGTAATATAATGGTGTATTTTTTTTTCTTTTCTTTTTTACAGATTTCGTTTGGAATTACGACAAATCAGTAAAACGATCAAGGAAAGAAACCAATCCAGAAACCCACCATATATTTATCTTGATCCAGAGATCGTCCCGAATTCTATTAGCATTTAAAACTTATCATCTTCACAAACCATTATTTAATATAATCATCTTCATTAACCAGCATCATTCTAATTAATTTATTTACGAACTACATGTATATTCATTTATAATTCATCTACTCTAACCGTTGTTCGCCATTTTAATTTTTCGGACATCTGTTTTTGTTGTTCTTTGGTGTTTAAAGTCCGCGTCCACCGAGGGTGATATTGCAGACAAATTGTCTTATTTTTACTTTTATTGTCTTAGTGCAGGGGTCTTTCTTGTGGGAATAAACCGGAGTACTAGGAGTAAACCCACGAGGTTGAAGAGACGCCTCTAGCTCCATGCCACATACGCTCACATCAGGGATCGAAAACACGACCGTAACCCAAAGTTGACCTGTCAGCTAGAGCTCGAAGCGCGACACTCTGGACCAGTAGGTCACCCTAGCCCCCGGGACAATATCTCATTTTCTACGGCTTATAATTCAGGCTAAAATTTACCCGAATTGATTATTTAATATTTAAAGGAAGCAAGTCTTTAATTCAAATAAATAATTTATATATCATCCACAGTCTTCGACATTGCAAACAAGACTTATTGGTCAATTTAAATCAACATTGATGTTGTTATCTTACCGTGAAGAGATGGTTAAGACAAAAATGATAATTTTATAATTGGCACGCGAATCTCGTGCCAAATTGCTTTCGGGTGCAATTTGTAAAGAAGCGACACGATGAACGAGGCTAAACATACTACCGGTGTAGACTGGAATAACCGAACGCCAAAGACTGCCATTCAAATTGGACTTTTCGTGTATTTCGCCGAACATAATTACAGTAAAACAGAAACGACTGAATGTAAATCAGTTTATATACATTCATATTACATTATTATATGCTTTGCGATCCATTTGTGACAATTTTTGTTAATTTCTAGTTGTCAAAAAATAGAGATTTAGCTCCTTTAATTAAGAAATTAAAATCAAAATATCAACGATAGGGTTACAAGAGGCACATTAATAGAATTTAGTAAAGATTATACGTGGCGCTGGCTTGTTTTGACCATATCCTATATCGTCAGCAGAGGATGTCGAATATTCATAAATTTTAAATTCATCATATCTTTGTAAATACTGAATGGAATTGAGCCATTTTGAGACTGTGATTACGGTCTACTCCTATTTCGAATTCGAACTGTCAAGGGTTTTGTTACGAGCACGCCGGTGTGTAAACGGGACCTCGATTTTTCATTGCATCCGAACGGCTAAGCACTGTACTTGTCAGAACTTTCTCGGCCAACACCTGGTTAACGAGTCAGCGTCTTAACCACTGAGCCACCGCGGCTCTATGCCTCAAATGATGATCGGAGCAAGGGATTAAACAAATTCCTCAAATAATTATCAGTGGCTTCTATTTATTAAATGAAAGGAATGGGGTTTAACGTCCTACTGCTACGACTGGGCTAATGAAGACGGGCATACGCCATACAATGTACAATGAGATACATTTTGCCCCAACAGCTGCACAGCGGCCTACTCTTATATCGAATTCCAATTGCCTAGGAAAATTTTACGTGCATGCCATTGTGTACACGGGGCTTCGGGTATTCGTCCCATCCGAACGACTAGACAGCTGTCCTTGTCAGGTCCTCCTTCCTGCACCATCGATAAAGGGAAACCACTCAGAAATTAGTTCCTAGAATTTTGTGCTGTATATTATTTTCTATCATATATTTTGTATTGTATATATTTTGTGTCATATATTTTTTAGTGATCGATCACACATTTTTGTGATTAAATTCAATAGGTATATAATGATTTTTAAATAAAATGGTGATTTCCTTTGGATTCACCCACCTCGCGTAAAACATGCACGGTATTAATTTGTTTTCTTTAATAAGGCAACCCCGCCAAGCACAATGTGCACTGTATTATTTGCTGGAAAAATCTATTAGGTAAGTGCATTAACCCCTTCTTATTCCGATGTACGACTGTCAGGGGATATTTAACGTGCTATGAAGTCAAGTGTATAAATTGGGATAAATTGGAAAAGGGGTTCAATTCCTTTACTTTTTTTAATCAAAGGGTTAACAAGGATGGACATTCACCACGCATTGTGCTATGGGGGAAGGTGCATTTTTTTTGCCATGGCAGCGGCGTTTCCGTCTAGTCTTCATCGAATTCTAGCAATCAAGGGTTCCTTTACGCGCACACAAACGGCTTCGCGAGGCCTTGTCAGCCCCCCCCCCCCCGCTTCCTGAATGGAAGAGTTTGATATATCTAGTCAAAGATACAGGAGTTTGCGGACCGATCTCTCTCAATATCATTTCGATATTAAACATGAATACTTGAAACATACCATTGATAATAGATGGCAAACTACTTCACAACTTATCAACCCAGCGTTAAGATGGTGGTTGTGTTCGCATTCTGCGCAAGTACAAGTTCGTCTGGTAATTTTTGTTGATGTTTTGATCAAGAAACAAAAAAAGAGTGTTAAAATTCTGGCAGGATTAGGAGAATAGTCGTTACTATTTTCTGGCTTAAAGATCAGAAAGGAAACGGAAATGAATTAGGAAAATGACGTCTCAACAGATTTCACTGACCGGGCGCAGCACAAAATCGAGACGGCCAACGCCCTTCAATAGTATTATCGGATGATTGTGACCAGTGCCGCGGTTACTATTGAGCTTAAGCACAGGGGCCCCGTGGGCCCGGGTGGGGCAAGGGGCGTCTTCCCTGATAATTCAAAGATTTGCCTAAAACTTGAAAATAATGAATGATCAGGTGGTATGTATTATGTTAACTACTCCTACATTTTCTGAGCGTATATGTCGGACTGCCTGTATAGGCATGTCGGGGCTACCTCCTTCAGTGCCATGTAAGGGGCCTCATAACTTTTAACTAGCACAGGTTCTCCTTATCCTAAATCCGTCATTATTTTTGACATGTTCTCCTGGTGTGTTTATACAAATTAACGTCATCAGATCGTTCTAAAAATTGTTATAGTCAAGAAACAGCATGGATTTAACATGGATAATTGTTAGTCTGACTCCATAACCATACGTAATTATCTCCCCTTAATCTCCCGCCGATTATATTGGTTGAATGGCCCAAAATGAAATGAAATGCGGGTTTAACGTCCTACTATTCTGCACTGACTGGGCTAATAAGGACGGGCATACGGCCTACTCTTACTTTGAATTCAACTGTCAAGGGAACTTTTACGGGACCTTGTAGATAGCTAGGGGCCTTGATTATTTGTTCAATCCAAACAACTATACATTTTTCCTTGCCAGACCCTACAAGCCTCCATCCTGCACCACAGACAAAAAGGTACAACACCGGAAAATCCGGATGAACTATCTCGCTAACACAAGGGTCGAACACTGGACCCCCAGGTAAGCGAGCCAACGTCTTATTCACTGAGCCACCACAGCTCACTCAATGGCCTAAAGTTCTGCTGTAATGATTACAGTAATGTAATGGGGAAGGATCGTGGTGGGTTTGGTTGAGGGAGATTTACCCCACCGGATCCAATCACCTGATCTGATAGGTGCGTTTGTTCATTGAGATGCCTGTGTATATTGTGTTATGTTTGTAGGTTTGTCTTGTGTATTTGTTTGTATGTGATCCCCCCCCCCCTCTGCACTTACATGAAAAATGGATATCCTGTATTAAAAGAAAATATAATTTATTATAGTAAATAATGTTTAATCATCTTGTGAGTATCTAAATAAAGGTAAACAAGTTTAATTCTAGAGTGAGAGGTAGAAAATCATATACTACTGTACTGAATATATATACACAACTAGTAGCAAATGGACACAAGGCCTTGGAAGGCTTACTTAAATGGACAATAGGCCTTGTGATACTTACCTAAATGGACACAAGGCCTTGTGATGCTTACCTAAATGGACACAAGGCCTTGTGATGCTTACCTAAATGGACACAATATGTCTAATGAAGCCACTGTGGGGTACACTGCCTACATTGTACTAATAGTGGTAGCATGTAGGTAGACAAACTATACACTATCTAACAGCACAGTACAATCTGTACCATGTAGTTTGTGGGGAGGGAGGAGAGTGGTACTTAGAGAATCAGTTCTTTCATTGAGATAATTGGTGTTGATTCAATTAAAAACTTGTACTAATAAGGAATAAGATCGTCTGTCTGACCTAAGGGTCTTCTAGTTTCCTCCCTATGCTAAAGTCAATTCTTTTCTCTCTATATATATATATATAGTTCTGCTGAGGGTAATCCATGTATTTGTTTGTAATTCATCTTTAAAAGCATATACACATGTCATGCATCTGTTCATTTGTTGACTAAAATATCAGATAACCTAAAACTAATGATGAAACTTTGAAAAGATTTAAATAGTCAAATATATAATTAAATGGGAAATTTTATTACTGTCTGTAATTATACTTTTCTTAGAAAAAATTGTGTATAAAAAATATAATAATAATCACAATCATACAAAATCACAATTATATAACAATTTATAACAATTTATATCAAAATTTTACAACAGCTTGAAATATTTCTGTATACAAAATCTACATACTAACCAGCAGAAACATACAAATAATTTTCTAAATCTCAATTTCTAATATTTATAACTATTTACTTTCTCTGAGTATAGTTTAGAAACTAATTACTCAGTTAATTATAATCTTTGAATGGCATTTAGCGATTGAACATAATATAACACAACACATTTCTATGGATAACAATCACTATATTATATACACACGTTTCAACAAGAATTCACTGGTCGAAACATTGTGTGTATATAATATAGTGATTGTTATCCATAGAACTGTGTTGTGTTATACTCAGTTAATTACGCACCACAGCTCAGAGAAATTAAAAATATTTTTCGATGATTGTCTAAGTATTTTAACAGTGTGCCAACAATTGTTTGAAACTAAATGTTATATACAGAAACTGCTGCTAAAACACTACACAATACCCGAGTTGTAGTGACAGTCATACAAATAAATTTCTAAATCGCAATTTCTAAAATTTACTTGGGATTTTTTTCCTGAAAAGATATTGAGCTATTAACCATTCATTGCCATTTTTAAAACCAAAAACTTCTGAACAGAAAATAAAGAATAGTCTAAAATTAAATATTTGTTTGTCGGCATCTTCTCCGTATGCTTTCGAAAATATCTGTTTGACTTTATCTTTATTGGCATCCATTTTTTCTAACCAGGCTTCCAGAGTTTTAGAGTAATGAGTTCCGTTTAAAACCCAGTGATCATCTATGGATATATTATTCTGAAATAAATAGAACAAGTCAGTCATCAACACTCTGCATCCTTGTATACAAAAAAACTATGTAAAATTACATTATATAAGAGCTTGCTGTTCTTGCTATAATAGGTCAAAAATAGATAATGAAAAATGAATATATTAAAAATTTCATTCCAATTACTTTACTTTGACCAAAGTTATGACTTTTATAATTGTAGCAATGGTAATAGACAATCGAGACTTAGTTCTAATCCGATGGTCTAGACTCTAGAGAGGTTGGACAGGTGACCGTACTCTTTGTCACGTTCAAGTGGGGAATCGTAGCCACGCCACTTGACTCAATGACAGTGCTTCTGATTTCAGGCACACACATTAAACCACTAGACCACCCATCTCGTCCCAACACCAGGATCAAACCTGGAACGTTCTTATTACAAAGTCAGCACCTAACTCATTGAACCACTGTGGCTCCCTTCTGATCAATGATTTTAAAGCTTGAATTAACTTCCTTGCATAATTTTGAGAGAGACTCACCTGAAAATGTAGGAACAAGTCTACAGATGGCATGGTTCCACCAGAAAAGAAATTTTTGGCCATCCATTCAGTGTCTGCACCTGGTTTTGTATCAAAGGCGTAGGAATGTGCTCGATGACATAAAATCTGGATAAACAGTAAACCAGCTGGCTTCAACCATGTGGATACTCTTTGAAATAATAACTCATAGTTCTTCATATGCTATAAATAAAAATAATAACTCAGTTTTCATGTGGCAGAAAATAATAACTCATAGTTCTTCATATGCTATCAATCAAAATAACTTCATAATTGCTATAAATCAAAATCACTCATATTTGCTATAAATAAAAATAATAACTCATAGTTCTTCCTATGCCATCAATATTCTTATATCGAATTCCAACTGCCAAGGGATCTTTTATCTGGACGCCAACGTATATGTACACTGGACCCTGATATACCGCAAACACAATTGATACACATACCTCAAACATCTCGATGGAGACAATTCTATCAAATCTTTTAGATGTGGTGAAGTAATTGGCGTCCGCTGTGATACAATCCAGTCGACTGCCGTATCCTCTCTTTGCCGCTTCATTTAATATATGCTCTCTCTGTGTGTTAGAATTTGACACACAGGTTACTTGACATCTTGGAAACTTCTCACACACGAACAAACCAAATGATCCCCAACCACAACCTAAATCCTGCAAAAAAAACAAATAGAGATATGTTTATCTGTTCTGCTCACAGAGAGTCAGTTACAGAGCGAGTGAGAGAGTTAGAGTTAGTGAGTAAATGAGTTAAGACTTAGTGAGAGACAGAGAGCAAGAGGGACACAGAGAGCAAGACAGTTAGAGAGAGAGTTAGAGTGAGACAGACAGAGAGTCAGATAGAGTGTGAGTTAGAGGGAGACAGAGAGCAAAACAGGTAGAGAGCGAGTTAGAGAGAGATAGAGAGAGAGAGTTAGACAGGGACTTGGACGGAGATCAAGATAGTGAGTGAAACAGAGAGATAGATAGAGCTAGACAGAGAGCAAGATAGTTAGAGACCAAGTTAGAGAGAGACAGAGATCAATACAGAGAGAAGAGAGAGAGACAGTCAGAGAGAAGAGAGAGAGACAGTCAGAGAGAGAGAGAGAGAGCAATTGAGTTTACTGTCCAAAGGGGACTTCCATACCACCACTAAACACATCTACATCAGAACTAACATTATAATACTTTTCATTAATTCAGGTGCATGCAAGGTTTCTCATCATCAGTGGCAGGAAACAGGAGATCCCAGACAACTACACAGATAATGCCATAATTTCATGTCATCATCATGCAAACTGTATGTAAACCAAGGAAGTTAATGTTATCTGTGATTTGGATGTTTTGGTTCCCCTCTATATCAAAAATATTCTTTATTTGGTTTAGTGCACATTTGGCATCAAATTATTACCATGTTTAACAAATGTACGACCGCACATATACTATAATCCTGGTTTCTATAAATTAGGCCATACGAAAATACTATTCTGATTCTTAGACAATAGGTACCAAAAATCTGATGTGGGAGGGAGGTTTTTATTTTTGGGCTTTTATTTGTCAAAGGATCACTACTGGACTAAATGACTTCTAACAAACATCACATTTCCAGGCACAACCAACAGTTAACTCATCATGTTGTTTATAGAAATGTATGATTGTCCAGTATCATTTATGATTGTCAGTAACATTCATCAGGGTTGTGAGCCTATGCCACATTTCTAGATTCATTCATTTGTTTTAATAGATCTACTTCCTGTGACTGGGCTATAACATTTAAGTGCAGTAATCAATGAGACTGTTTTTATTTGTTATTAATATTAAAAAAGAACAGGTTATGCAGTCCTATTTAATTGAAGCTGGATTATCTGAGAATCAGACTATTTTTGTTATATTGTGGGAGAGTGATTTTATTGGGGAATATTTTAAAGTCACCAATACTAAGTTTTAAATGTTAGATAATATGTTCCACTTCACTAGCTTTAGCTATCCTGTGTTTCTATCGACTTTCTATCCACTATCTTAAGTTAGAGTGAGTTTCTTCTCATTTTTGGTATCTTGTCTTGGTTTTAACCTTTGAACCTGAGTATATTGTGGTCAGGTGATTTGGTATCCAGGGAATGTTTGGACACTTAGGTAATAGAGTTTGAGGCAATAGGTTGACTATTTTCAGTTCTCCATATTGCAACTTATTTCTGTATAGTCATAGTTTAATTAGCTAGTTTTAGATATTTCATTTCTAATATAGTTTATATAGAAGTTAGATTAAAGTATTCAATAGTTCCAGTGATTGCCAGGTAAGATACTTCAAAGGTACTTCACCTTTGACAGTCTGTCTAGCCAGCAAAACCCCTCTCTAGGGTAAGCTACTTATTAAGTGTTTAGTTATTTAGATTATTTAGATTGGTATTATTACATACATATACTTTAACTTGTAGCTGTCATACAAGTTAGCAGGATGAAGTTAATTATATAGGCAGTATTTAAGATCGTGTTTAAGTGACTAAGTAAAATGGATTTATAGATAGGCCTATGTAGCATGTATCTAGTATGTATATTTCTACTACTAAAGTTATGATGCTATTATTAATTTGTAATGGGGTATAGATATAGATTTTATCAATTCAACATATGTATTATTATATATATTTAGTCTTATTTATTATGTATTTCAGGGTTTCTGTTATATCTGAATAAACCGTTGAATCGAACCCTTGGTGTGGTTTTTTCTACAACTAGAGAATGGACCCCCCGTAACATTTGGAGCCCGATAAATTTTGATGGTATAATGGTATAAAGATTAATGGTATAATGGTTATCAGTTTAATGGTGATTTTGAAGAGTATAGACTACTATAGAAGATAAAATTCAGTGAGCTCACACGCGTGCGCGATCAACAGCAATAGCAGTATACCAGTGCAGTGACATTAACTTTATTTAGTATATTTTGGTGATTTGTGTTTCATTTGGATTTATAAGGATTTTCCATAAGGTCTGTTAATTAATTTATTACTTAATAATTACATAATTAAGATTATTTAATTAAGATTTATTTCTGTTTTGATATGTGTAATAATATTGTTAGGCCTATAATTTAAAATTATTTCATAGATTATCTCCCTTTAATTGGTATTATATACATATAAGTGGTTATTTATTGAAACTTAAGTAATTCTCAGTACTTATTAGTAGAAGGTACTTGTAATTAAGAGTAGTTCTTTTCAATAGGCGTAAATATTTTGTCCTAGCCCTATTATTTACAGCATTAGTCCCTAAATTTTCATAAATAGTGCATTTAAATTTTGGAGTTAAGAAACTTCATCCATTTTGTATGTTTACAATTTGTGTTTCCTGTCGGCCATATTTGTATAAGGTTATTGCTACTTCCTGTTTACATAAATAGTTATTTCCTGTTGACCCAAATAGTTACTTCCTGTTCACCCACATACATCTTCTTGTTTACATTTACAATTTTTTGTGAGTAAAAACAAAGTTTTACATTACATAAATCAAAGCAAAAACATAGTACATTAACATTATAACATTCGTAAATTATACTTAAAGATATTTTCAGGTGCGTTACACAATATATATTCATTACATTCAATTTTCATTTTCAGAATTAGATATGTTGGTTTTGCGTTTGGGATTTAGGTGTTTATCCAGATTCTGATTTTGTCAATTTAGACTTTGTGACTTTTCAGAATTGGGGATTTGTGAAGTTGAAGTTTCAGGTTTCGCTTATTTTCAGATTTGAATAATTTGACTTTGAAGTGTATTGATATTGTGGTTTTGATTTTGGAAAGTCAATGGTGTTGTTACATTTGACTTAGTCCATATTCAATTTCATATATTGTCGATAGGTTGTGTTTGTATTTTGAAGTTTGAAGTTTGATTGTTTTATAGTTTATTTTCATTTGTATTTGGCGGTACGTGATCTATACTTAGTTTATATTTCGTCATATTTCATTTCATACTCTATTTCCGTTTATATTTCTCCTTAATTCACAGCACTTAACCACTAACTAACCAACCTGCACTTATTTATTTAATTTTATTTAGTGGGTTTCATTGATAGTGTGGATTTGTTCTACATTATACTTCGGTTTGAGTTGATGTGTATTTTGTAAAACTTATTTGTAGTTTTGCAGTTTATTACTTTGAAAGTTTGTTTCAAAGTTTGGTTTAATTTGTATTTTGTTTGACTTGATCGTTTATCAACTTGTGAAAATCCAGTATTTGTTTTCCGCGTTTTTGAAGATCAGTGAATTGTGTTCAATAGTGTTTCGCGGGATTTCTTAGTATTTCGCGATTTATAGTGTGTTTGGTGTTATTCGCGATATATGTTTTATTGTATTTCGCGATATTTTCTCGAGTTTGGTGTTGTTTATTCGCGACATTTATCTGTATTTTGCGACATTCTATAGTATTTCGATATGTTTCACTGTGTTTAGTGTGTTGTATTTCGCGATCGTTTACAGTGCTTAACCCGTTGTATTTCGCGATATTTTACTGTGTATAGCGTCTTTGTGTTCGCGTTATTTTTGTGTTAATCAACAAAGATGGCTGGAGTAGATGAGGGTAATGCCGATGTTACCATGTCAGAAGAAGAAAAGGCTAGTTTGTTGGATGCATTGGCGAGCATGGGTGCTAAACCAAAGGCTGATACACCGGAACAGCTGATTGATTGGATGTATGGGTACCTAAAATCAACGGGGAAGGTTAAAGAGGAAGAACCTGTTCAACATCAAGAACGAGTAGGTGCATCAGTTAGTGATATTCCTCCAACACCAAAGAAAACATCAGCAAGTTTACATATGGTTCCACAGACTCCACGAATTTCATTCTTTTCAGGCGATCCAACTGCCAAAGGAGATATCAGTTTTGATTTATGGAAGTTTGAGGTGATGACCTTGATGAAGAATGGACAACACGCCACTGATTCCATCAAGATGGCTGTGATAAAATCATTGAAGGGAGAAGCTGCTCGAGTGGCGATGCGTCTTGGCCACCAGGTTACAACAAGAACTCTTCTGGACAAGCTTGAAAGCAGGTTTGGGTCAGTGGAACAAGGACAGTGTCTGCTTTCTCAGTTCTACTCAGCCAAGCAGTTTACTGACGAGTCCGTGTCCAAGTGGGCCTGTAGAATCGAAGATTTGTTGGACAGGGCTAGGGATGAGGGTGAAGTGGATGCGGATACCTTTGAGAGCAAGTTACGAGCAAAGTTTTGGAGTGGTCTCAACCAAGATTTAAAGGATAGATCTGCACACAAATACGATCGTCTTACGGATTTTGAAGATCTTTTGAGGGAAGTACGACGAATCGAGCGCGATTCTATCATAGCCTCCACAACACCGGCCAAGTCAACTTCGAAGCCTCAACTGAAAATGATGCAAGCACCAGCAGATAGCGAAGTTGAGGATTTAAGAACCCTAATTGCAAGTCTTACTGCATCTGTTCAGTCATTACAGAAGGATGTTAAAGGGATGAAGGCTGATCGTCGTCAAGATTCTATTTATGCGTTACCACCACCGATTAGTTCTTCAACACCAGCTGCACAGAAAAAGAAGTCTCCACAAACAACATCGAAAACACCACAGCATCCCGACAGTAAAGTAATATGCTACCGTTGCGGACAACCAGGTCATGTTAGGATCGGATGTCGAGCTACACTTCGGGATGGGGATTTTTAGAGAGTGTCACTGGTGCGGGACAATCAGATGACATGTGTGACGCGAGTCCCAACAAGATCATTGGACACAGTAACACCACCATTATGGATATCAATGGGAAGGTATGTTCTACTTTATTGGATACCGGATCAACTGTGTCAACTGTATGTGAATCTTTTTATAACGACCACCTTAAGTCAGAAGATTGCGTGTTAACTCCCCTCGATCAGTTAATTGTTATTGAGAGTGCAGGAGGAGATAGTTTACCGTACTTAGGATGCATTTCAGTGACTGTAAAGATTCCAAGTTTCAAGTGTAAGTCCATCGACTGTTTATTTCTAGTGGTTCCCGATACTACGTTCCATAGAACTACTCCAGCTCTTGTGGGAACCAACGTGTTGAGACCATTATTGAACCAAGTACTAGCAGTCCATGGCCATAATTACCTTCAACAAGTACATCTTCCTGATATGTGGTGTTTAACTTTTACATGCATGCAGATACAGGACAAACAACTTGAAGGAAAGGTGGGATTAGTGAAATGTACCGAAGATGCTCCTGTTATGCTATACAGTAATCGTTCGATGTGTTTGTCTGGCAAGATTCAAGATTTAAAACTGGGTACCCGACAGCGAGTTATTTTCCAGAATTCTCCTGATTCTCTGATTCCAGCGGAAATAGAGGTAACACCAACTATTTTGGAGTTGTACCCAGGTGAGGAAGGGAAGGAAGTTGTAGTACGATTGTCGAACCTGTCGCTATCGCCTGTGAAGATTTATCCACATAGTATCCTCGGTGAACTTCACGTAGTGGACTTAGTGCGAAAGACGACAGTGAACAGTATTTTACCATCATCTACTACAGAATCAACCACCACTGATACGTTCTTGGACAAGATTGATTTCGCTACTTCTGCATTGAATCCAGATCAACTCCATACGTTTAAAGATTTCCTAAACCAGTGGTCCCCAATATTTTCACACAGTGACAGAGACATCGGGAGTATTAGTTTGGTGAAGCATAAGATCCAGCTATCAGACGAAATTCCTTTCAAACAGCCTCATCGTCGAATACCACCAGGCATGTATGAGGAAGTGAAGGAACATCTTCACGATTTAATAGAAGCAGGGATAATAAGAAGAAGCCATAGCCCTTATGCATCTCCAGTAGTGTTAGCCCGGAAAAAAGACAACTCGCTCAGGATGTGCGTTGATTACAGGATGCTAAATAAAAAGACCATTCGCGACGCCTATGCTCTACCACGAATAGAGGAGATGTTAGACAACCTGGCAGGGTCCAAGTATTTTTCGGTTGTTGACATGAAGAGTGGGTATCATCAAGTGAGCATCGAGGATTCTGACATACCGAAGACGGCGTTCACAGTAGGACCACTAGGATTTTATGAATATGTGAGACTCCCGTTCGGACTTACTAATGCCCCTGGAACGTACCAGCGCCTAATGCAAGACTGTCTTGGAGATCTAAATTGGAAGATATGTGCTATTTTCATAGACGATCTTATTATTTTCAGTAGGACTTATGAAGAACACATCGAAAGACTGACACAGGTATTCACAAAACTCAGGGAGCATGGAATCAAGCTGGCACCAAAAAAATGTGAGTTCTTCCAGGAAAAAGTACGCTATCTAGGCCATATTGTATCTGAAGACGGAATAACCACAGATCCGAAGAAGACGGATAAGGTTGAATCCTGGCCAGTTCCAACCAACGTAGATGAACTAAGGAAGTTTTTGGGTTTTGTGGGCTACTATCGGAGATTCATCAAAGATTTTTCCAAGACAGCAAAGGTTTTGAATGACCTACTGGTTGGAGGACCAACTGTGAAAAAGAGGGGGAGAGCAGTGAAGGAGAAACAGAAGAAAGAGTGGAAATGGGAGGAAGCTCAGAAAGAGGCGTTCCAAAACCTCAAAACATCATTAGTTCAGCCACCAGTACTTGCCTACGCAGATTTTACTCAACCGTTCATCCTACATACAGATGCCAGTGGAGTTGGGCTAGGAGCAGTACTCTACCAGAAGCAGGATGGATTTGAACGAGTCATTGCATATGCGAGTAGGAGCCTAACCAAAGCTGAAAAGAATTATCCAGCTCACAAGCTTGAGTATCTGGCACTGAAATGGGCTGTCACAGATAAATTCCACCAATATCTGTTCAACAACAACTTCACAGTTTTCACGGATAATAATCCTCTCACCTACATCCTGACCACGGCAAAGTTGGACGCCACTGGACACCGTTGGCTTGCTGCCCTATCCAACTACAACTTTTCGATAAAGTATCGTGCTGGAAGGAAAAATATGGATGCAGATGCTTTAAGCAGGATGACTGAAAATGATTACCAGGAAGTGAGCTCAGATGTGATGGAAGCAATCCGAAATAGTGACACTGATGAAGGCTACATCCAAACCGTCAGCATGTCACACCAAGTATCACCAAACATGATGACTTTAACAACTCCCATTGTTAGCCTAGGAGAGTGGGAAAGGAGACAGGGTGAAGACCCATTACTTCGGCAACTCCGCAATGACATCCTGAATGGAAGACCAGCTAGGACAAAAACAGGATCACCAGAAGAAGCTGCATTGTACCGCCATTATGAACACTTCGTTCTTAAGTCTGGTACCCTGTATAGGCGCACAATGGTGGCAGGAGTTGAGATTTTACAACTGGTTTTGCCTGAAGCCTACAGACGTTTGGCGATTGTCGGAGTCCATGACGACCTAGGACATCAGGGAAGAGATCGAACTATAGGTTTAGCTCAAGAAAGGTTCTACTGGCCCAAAATGACGTTTCAGATAGAGGAGTATATACGAAACTGTCCTCGGTGTGTGCGTAGGAAGGCTTTACCATCAACCTGTCCTTTGGTCAACATCAAAACCGGTCAGCCGATGGAATTGGTCTGCATGGACTACATGTGTGTGGAAGAGGCGAAAGGAGGCTATGATAGTATATTAGTCATCACTGACCATTTCACCAAATATACCCAAGCAGTGCCAGTTAGGAACACCACAGCAAAAACAACTGCCAAGGCATTATTTGACAACTTTATCGTGCACTATGGGATCCCTCAACGGCTACATAGTGATCAAGGCCAGCAGTTCGAGGGAAAAATCATCAAGGAATTGTGCCAGTTGACTGGGATCGAAAAGTCTAGAACAACACCATACCATCCACAAGGGAACGGACAATGTGAACGGTTCAATCGGACTTTGCTGAATATGCTCGGAACTTTGCATCCTGAACAGAAGTCGGACTGGAAATCTTACGTTGCTCCACTCATCCACGCATACAATTGTACAAGACATTCATCAACAGGATATTCACCGTACGAATTGATGTTCGGAAGGAAACCAACCTTAGCTGTTGATGTTATGCTAGGAATTGTGGATAGTACAGAGGCCAAAGGAAACTACAACTCGTATGTTGGATCTCTGAAGGAAAAGCTGGAACACGCATATCTTACAGCATCAGCTTTTAGGGAGGATACGCAGGAACTTCAGCGGAAAAAATGCAACCTAAGAGCCAGGATAAATGTGTTGGAACCAGGGGATTGTGTTTTAGTGAAACGCCTAGTTTTTCCAGAGGGCAGACACAAGCTAGCAGATAAATGGGAGGATAAGCCATATAAGATTTTGAGACAGCCAAACAAGGACATACCGGTTTACGAACTACAAGCGATTGGTGGAAATGGTCGGAAAAGGACATTACACAGGAACCATCTTTTACCCATCAGTACGTTACCGGAAATTTCACCAGATGTCAACACTAGAACAAAACCAGTACCACGACCAAGAACTAGACAACCAAAGGTAATACCAGAACCGGAAGAGTCATCCAGTAGTGAAGAAGATGAGGTGTACTTAGTGGAGGATGCAACCTACTTGCAACCTGCTAGCACCACTGAGGTACACGATGGGAACAAAGGACAAGCTGAGATCGACACCAGTGTTCAAGATGGTGGAAGCAGGCCTGAACCACCAGACTCAGCTGTTTCTGAAGTGTCAGAGGAAAATTCACAGCCAGATGACCCGGAGCCCAGAAGATCGGGAAGAGAAAGAAAACAACCGCTCCGGTATGAAGATTATGTCATGTCACAGCAACCAGCATCTTCGGTACCTTCTACCCTACAGTTGCGTGCTGAACTGGCAAGATCGCTGTTACCACCAGATTTCATGAGTTTGTCACCAGATAGGTTGCAGGTCGTACTAACTATGTTGCCAGGTTTATGCAAGTCCTTGTTTCCGGATGTATTTTAGTTTAGCTGGTGTTGGAGACGGCCAGGTCATATTGTGATCGGATGTCGAATATGGTTAATGTCGGGGACAACATTTGCATTAGGGGGGAAGTATGTGGGAGAGTGATTTTATTGGGGAATATTTTAAAGTCACCAATACTAAGTTTTAAATGTTAGATAATATGTTCCACTTCACTAGCTTTAGCTATCCTGTGTTTCTATCGACTTTCTATCCACTATCTTAAGTTAGAGTGAGTTTCTTCTCATTTTTGGTATCTTGTCTTGGTTTTAACCTTTGAACCTGAGTATATTGTGGTCAGGTGATTTGGTATCCAGGGAATGTTTGGACACTTAGGTAATAGAGTTTGAGGCAATAGGTTGACTATTTTCAGTTCTCCATATTGCAACTTATTTCTGTATAGTCATAGTTTAATTAGCTAGTTTTAGATATTTCATTTCTAATATAGTTTATATAGAAGTTAGATTAAAGTATTCAATAGTTCCAGTGATTGCCAGGTAAGATACTTCAAAGGTACTTCACCTTTGACAGTCTGTCTAGCCAGCAAAACCCCTCTCTAGGGTAAGCTACTTATTAAGTGTTTAGTTATTTAGATTATTTAGATTGGTATTATTACATACATATACTTTAACTTGTAGCTGTCATACAAGTTAGCAGGATGAAGTTAATTATATAGGCAGTATTTAAGATCGTGTTTAAGTGACTAAGTAAAATGGATTTATAGATAGGCCTATGTAGCATGTATCTAGTATGTATATTTCTACTACTAAAGTTATGATGCTATTATTAATTTGTAATGGGGTATAGATATAGATTTTATCAATTCAACATATGTATTATTATATATATTTAGTCTTATTTATTATGTATTTCAGGGTTTCTGTTATATCTGAATAAACCGTTGAATCGAACCCTTGGTGTGGTTTTTTCTACAACTAGAGAATGGACCCCCCGTAACAATATCGCCTAATTAACAAGTGTGATACTTTAAATAAATTACCAGAACTGTTTGTCCATCTTGTATCTTGGCCCTGTCACAGTACATAGATAGTGACAGATCTTCCGCTAAAAAAACATAACACAGAAATAATTATATTTAACTTGCTTTTGACTATTTATGCCCATGTTCATTAGCCCAGTCGGAGCAGAACACTAGGATGTTAAACCCCATTTCACTACATTTATTAGAAATTTCAGCCATATTACCAGTCTTAAAGTTCATTTGGAGTTTCCGGCGTGGTTCACCCTTGTCAGTGGCACAGGGGACCTGACAGCTGTCTCATCGTTTTGATGGGAGAGAAAACTGAGGTCCCAGGTACACATTGCGTGCACGCAAAAGAACCCTGACAGATGCACATCATCATTAGCCCAGTCGGAGCAAAAAAGTAGGATGCTAAACACCATTTCATTTCATTTATAAAATATATAAAAACAAATTGGGATGAGTTATGCAAAATTCATCAATAGGCAAAATTTTAAAGTGAAACCATATGGCATGAAACATTATACTGCATTTACCTTGATCAAGATCTTTAACACCATCAGGGAAATAACATCCACTGTATTTTAATCTTTTACCCAGAGACTGAAATATAATAAAAGGGAATTGGGTTTAACATCTTATCAACACAATATTAAAAGAAATGAAATAAAATGATAGGGTTTAAAGTCCAACTGTTCTGCTCTGACTGGGCTTATGGAGGGAAATTTTGAATAGACAGCGGCACTACGGCCTATTTTTATATCTTTTAAGAGCATTCGTCCGATTCGAATGACTAGACAAATTCCAAGTGTTAAAGCCTTTTAACAATGTGTACACAGCTGGAATTCGATTTTGCATCCCATGCAAACCACTAGACAGCACCCCCTAACAATTGAAATCCAGGCTGGAATAATCCTGATGGTCCTTTGAACCCTTCGACAGTCATCTAGTTGCCACCTTCTACGTGGGGGGGGAGGGGGGTCGAATGGTTTAACACATGCGCGTATGATTATAAGGTCTGACAGAAACCCTTTTCTTGAGGGGGGGGGGCGGGGCCAATAATTATATATAAAAAAAAAAATTCTACGTCAGTGAGAAATATGTACCATATTTAATTTTTCCTACATCGGCACAGCGAGTATTCATGCTGCAGAGCCCCAGAATTCGATGTCCAATCCCCTACTCTCTCAGGGGTAAAGTCAGAAACCCTATTTTTCTTGCTCAGGGACATAAAAATCTTCTGGGCTGACCTGGTATAGCTTCTGATACTTACAGTCAGATAAAATTCAGTTGGTACTTCATAATGTTGTTCATTGGCTTTATCTGTATCGATGGCTATTGGGGAGGTTTTTAATCGATGTATAAATTTCTTCTTGTAATAATTCTGTTTTTCTAAATCTCCACCACATTCTAATTTTTCTATCCAGGCAGATAAATTCTGACGAACCCCTAAAAAAAAGATAAAAAGTTAACATTTCATTAAATCTGAACTGAAGGCCTAGAAATAAAAACACATGTCGGCAGGCAACAAAACAAAACATACTCCCACAGCTGCAAAATTGTCTGGGCAGCCAAAAAGGGTTGTCTCATATTTATTTTTCGTAAATATCAATTTATTTAATACATTACAGATTGGATGACAACCGCATCAAAAGGATGATAAGGGTTCTTTCCTTGCACGCTAAGTTGAACAAGGGAGTATATGGGACCTTTTCAACAGGACTGAGCCTGTGTGACGATCCTGGTTAGTGAGCCATTATAATTTCCTGCCGTATGTCCGTCTTCATGGTACACTAAACTTGGATGTTAAACATGTTGGCTAACCTACCCTGTTGCCTTTCTTTCATTCACGCCTCAGCTCATTCATTCAATTATTTACTTGCATTTCAACATCAAATAACGCCTGCGGCTGCATTGCGAACATACAATTAATATGAATTAACATTGTGCAGTAAATACCTTCTCTCAAGACTTCATCAGATGCCATCTTGACTACTCCTTCACAATGGTGTCTGGAAAATAAAATTATATAACTTGAAAACAAGTCAACAGCTAGGATACTGCAATTACCCCTAAGTACCACTAGAATTTCCAGTCAACAAACTCGGTTTTTTGTTTATCTGACAGTTAAGTCACAACTTTATTGAGATTTTCCTTCCAATATCAATCCCCTAAACAACGTGTTGACCTCTCTTTGCGAGTAAGGTCGTCGTCTTGGGTTAAGGGTCAACGACTGACGTCAGCAACTGAAAACAATGGCCGTACTAATATAAACAATATACAGGTCACAATTCTATGGAATACAATTACTGCTTATTACTCTAGTTCAATTACTAAATGCCATTGAAACAGTTTAATATAAACAACTTGAATTAAGTCTGTGTCCGATGCATAAAACTGATGACAGCATAGTATCTAGTCGCTTCGGAATAAAAACAACCGTGTGGAGGGATTTATAGAGGAGTAGGCTACATGTTGTTATCTTAGTTACTGCCACCACTGCTTAATAAAGTCAAGCTTTACGTTTCTCCTCGTCATATTGAGCGACTGGATTATTCGACTGGATTATTCGACTGAATTATCTGCTTGATTTTTTTTTCGACCGGATTATTTGACTGTTTTTTCGGCTATCCCCGGCCCTAAATACCTAATTATCAGACTACGTTTGCCCCATAAATCGAACTTGAAACTATTTGGCTGGGGAGGGAGGTGCAAGCCCCCGGCTCTTTTACAGCTATTGCTAATTATAATGCAATGGATATGACTGAACTACTCGGTATTATCTTAGTTCACTGCAATTCCTGCTTATTATTGAGCGACTATTTTTAAATTTTAACTTCTCATCATATAACTGTCAAAAGCACATTTTGTCAACTTGATCTGGTACGAAGACCCAACTTGATCTGGGATGTGGATTTATCGACAGTGATATTCGACTGGTTTTATTGACTGAGATATTCGACTTGTTTTATTGACTGTGATATTCGAGTCCACAAGAAAATAGTTTTATTGACTGGGATATTTGACTTTTTTCGACGATAATCAGTCAAATAATTCAGTTGACAGAACCAGTCGAATAATTCAGTCAACAAAACCAGTCAAATAATCCAGTTGAAAAAAAAACAGTCAAATAATCTAGTCCCTAAAACCAGTTGAATAATCCTGGCGAAAAAACAGTAAAATATCCCAGTCGATAAAACCAGTCGCTCAATATTAAGTACCGGTGGCAGTGAGCTAAGGTAATATAGAATAGCCCAATCATGGTCGTAGCCAGGGGCTTCACCCCCCGCCCCTCCCAACTACTTTAAAGTCAGATTTTTTTTCGGGCAAAAGTAGTCTTATGATCTAGGTATTTAGTTGATACATGTACTTAACTGGAGAGTCATGTTTTTGGCCCGTCATCTAAGTGAATAGAATCCTACATAGGGGTCTTTAGCAGTGGGAGGAAACCGGAGGACCCAGAGAAAACCCACGAGGTTGGACAATCGACCTTACTCCTTGTCACGTACAACCGGGGATTCGAAACCACGTCAGTCGACTCAATGACAGACTTTATGGTACAGCGCGCACGCTAACCATTCAGCCATCCACCCCCCACCCCCCAACCCATCAAAATACTTGTCCCTTGCCAGGCCTTCGGTTTTGCACCACTGAAAAGGAGGAACCACGTCGGTAAATCCCTATGGGCTTTCTCAGCCAACGCAGGGATCGAACACGGGACATTCGGATTAGCGAGCCAACGTCTTACTCACTGAGCCATCGTGCCACCCCCACCCCACCCCCACCTTACTTCAGACCCCACTCGCTTTCTTGTTGATTGAGATTATACAAATATACCTGGAAATTAGGCGTGGTTTGCTGTCGTCCAGAGCAACTCGACTAGCGCCCTTAGCAAACAACAACGTTTCCCTATCAGCTCCAAAGACATTAGTAAGCAGGTAAATATCGAATAAGGCGCTTCGAATTCGTTACCAAACTTAAAACGACTCGGACCTCCATCTTGCTTCATTGATAAGAGTGAAAACGGGCACGAAAATCCAAAGGGACTTTCTCGGCCAACCCTGGATTGAACCTGGCCACCCAGTTTATAAAATTAAATGTTACCATATATTATTATGTCTACCCTAGGTAATTTCTATACGACATGGCTAGTCTTCTGTTTACTTAAAGGCTCAATACCACTCTTGTTGTAACTGAATTATATGTCCCAATCTTTATTCTGGTCAACAATTTGTACTATTTTAGAATATTTGATGATACAAATTTCATCTTAACACACTTTATTTAAAAATTTTGAAAAATTCAACACAATGGTTTGAAACGTCTAACGTAAAGCTTTTCAAATGAAACTTCGATTTAAAAATATTTTCGAACCCTCTGGACAAGTAAAATAGGATGTTATGGATAATTTACACAACAGGTAGGACACTTAAACATCTATTACTTAGATAGAGATATTATTTATTTTCTGGAGCTTTCAAGCCAGCAAGAGTGTTATTGTCCCTTTAAGTCTATACACGTGGAATTCAACGAACAATCTCAGTCATTATATTTCAATTGTTGCACTAAACATATTAATTTTTCAGGTATTTTTACCAACAGATCATCCTAATACGTGGATTTTAGCTAAAATGTGGTATAATAATGCTGATGCCGCTTACCATCAATCACTAACACATCTTGGTAAGTAACCATAGTAACACATCTTGGTAAGTAACCTTAGTAACACATCTTGGTAATTACCCCTAGTAAGACATCTTCGGTAAGTAACTCTAGTAAAACATCTTGGTGAGTAACCATAGTAACACATCCATAAGTAACACATACCATCAATCACTAACACATCTTGGTAAGTAACCATAAGTAACACATCTTGGTAAATAACCATAGTAACACATCTTAGTATGTAATCATAGTACTTGGTAAGTAATAATAATAACATTATCTTGGTAATCAACATATTATGGGTTATTGTTAAAGGCTTTATAAATGCAAACAATGCAATTATATCAATTAAAAGGAGAAGTCAAGCATTGTTAGATTCTTTGTATATTATTCGTTAGCTAGTCTTAAGGGTGCCTTATGTAAGACTAAGATAAAGAGCTGATAGAATAGTGAATAAATAGAAAACAAAAAAGTAATATAATATGTTGAAATTTTCAGTCAAATTATTTCATTCTGATCGGAGGTATGGTCGATTGCAAAACAGTGTAGTCACGATTGTCACAGCTACCGTTGTTACGATGATAAACATCCATTTTCAAATTAAATCATTAACTGCCAATCGTATTTAAATCCGTTGAAAATCTACAGCATCGAGAGTTGATTATGGTTTTGGCAAGTCTAATTAATAATTTATTAAAGAAAGGCATGCAAAAGGCAGATTTAGTTTTTGAATAATGTATCTTTAAAGTAGTTTAATTAACAAATTAACACGCCACATTGACGTTGTGATGGTAACTGTCGGTCATTGTTTATAAACAAGACTGTTCGCGTGCTACGGTAGCGCCTCTTCGTTGACCGTTACATGTGTCTGAATGTGAATTCATTGGTAGAGCCTGCACGTGTGTTGCATTGTTTACACTAGACGACAGTTCCCCTCACAAGGTGTGGTATATTGTGTATTATAGACCAAATACGCCAGGTTCATTATGGTTGTAACTACTTGAATACTTTTTGTATTGTTTTTGTTCAAGAGTCAACGGTAATGGTTGCATTTTCTCAAACAGGGCTTACACATCTTTTTGTACCATGATATATAATGTGAGTCAGTGTCTGTAATGACTAGAACAATATGTAATAGTTCCATTTATTTTACAGGACTTACGCATCTTTTAATGGAGGGAGTAACCGTAGCAACACATCGCAATCTTTCACAGTCACATCCTGCTTTCAAGTTTTTAGCTCCACATTTTCTGTATTTGATAGCTATCAATACGTAAGTCACTTTCCCTTGACTGGGTTATAGCTACGAAACCAAAAAAAAGTTACTTTTCATGTTTTTTTTTTTGTTTTTTTTTTGTTCTTATGTAAGACTGTAGTAAGTTTTTCACATAGTTGTGTTTTATGCAAACCATTCGTGCCTCTTCTATGAGTCACCCACCAGCGTCCACATTACGAGGTTGAAATATAGTTCTGCAATGTCTGAAATTAAACTTTATTTTATATTTACGACATTCTTTCTTATTTTTTGTTATTGTAGACGAGGTTTAGAGGTGTTGATATCAGAAGGTGGTTGGGTAGTTTTTTTTTTTTTATTTATTTATTCACAGTATTTAAGGCCTCCAGCCCATAGTACATAAATTTTTACAACATATAAGAAGTGCGGTGAGTAAATGTGAGATAAATAACAGTAATAAATAATAATGGTAATAAAGACAATATGTATACATAATTTGTTGATATAATATAATAATAAATCAAAATAAGCATAACTATTTACAATTATCAATTTGTTTTCGGATAACATATGACTGATAAATAAACATAGCTAAATTTCGATAATTATTTTCGTCAGACATGACCCTAATAAAAATATCCCTATTTGTTTTATGTTGTCTCTCGTTCTCTATTTCTGGAAGTAATTTGGTTCTTAGATTATCATACAATTTACAATAAACAATAACATGTATTTCATCCTCTGTTTGTTTTAAATCATGCATTTCATCACAGTATTTACAGACTCTTTCAATTTTTGGTACATTCTTCCAGCGTCCTGTCTCTACAGCCAAATCATGGTTTGAACATCGGAAACGAGTTAAGGATTGTCGAAATTTAGTCACAGATACCTTGGATAAATAAGGTTCATAGTTAACATTGTGTTTAATCAAGCTATAATTTTGTAGTCTGGACGTCTCTTTAATATCACATGATAATTGTTGACGTGAGCAATCAATTAGCCTTTGCTTAAATGATGATAAAAACCCATTTACATCAAAAACATCCTGCTCTTGCCAAACGTAACCAAATCCATATTCATATAAAATATGCTTAATATTACTGGCCCAAGTTGACCTTCCAGCTAAATCTAAATTGTACAATAAGTCATAACAAGCTTTAGGATATCTGGAATTTGGTAAATATAGTAATTTTAACCAATACTTAAGACAATTATATATAGTATTTACATAGAGTGGTACTCGACCAGTTTCACCATATACTGCACAATTACATGTGTTAGAACTAACGTGTAATATAGATTTCAGAAACCTTAACTGCACCTTTTCTATCGATTCATATTTTCTAAAACCCCAAATCGCAGAAGCATATTCTAATATTGGTACGATCATTCGATCGAATAAAAATAATGAATTTTTAATACTAATATAGTTCTTTTTGATATAATATGTTAACATATTGGAGGCCTTCCTGGCCTGCTGTGCAAGGGTGTCTGTCGCAAGGGTCCAACATAGTTTTGAAGTGAAAAATATACCCAAATATTTATAGCCATTTACCGTCTCAATTTCTGTGCCATCGAGAAACCATTTCTCATACGACTTGACAATTCCACCTCGTCTAAACACGACGACCTTTGTTTTGCTTAAGTTAATTTGCATCCCATATTTCTTGCAAAATGTTTGGATGCAGTTTATTTGAGATTGTAATCTAGGAACAGTGTCCCCTACCACAGCAATATCATCTGCGTAAAGTAATGATAATATTTCTTTAATATCAGAGTTAATAAATATCCCATGACAATCAGACTCATCTAACATGCAAATTAATTCGTTTAAAAATAATGTGAACAACAATGGGCTGATCATACATCCTTGTCGAGTTCCTATGTTACATTTGAAGAATTCGGTAACTGTTGTGTTGTTAGTTTGAACACAAGATTCAAGGTGTTGATACATAGATTGTATCACACTAAATAACTTCCCCCTTACGCCATTGTTTAGCAGTACATATTGTAAAATATGGTGTTGAATTCCATCAAAGGCCCGGGAAAAATCGACAAAAATTACGTAAAAACGCCCTCTAGATTTTGTGAGGTATTTTTGTACGAGTGCCTGTAACGTAAAGATCTGATCAGTAGTGCTATAACCCCTCCTATATCCCCCCTGAGCTTCATATAATTTATCATTAATTAAACACCAGGCGACTCTACCCCTTGTCACGTACAACCGGGGAATCGAAACCGCACCAGTTGACACAATGACAGATCTAATGATACAGCGCACACGCTAACCATTCGGCCATCCAACCCCATAAAATATTACAGAAGACAATGCGAAAATAATTAGAAATGACTGATTCACAAACGACAAAAGATTAATAATAATTATGAATCATGAATTTCTTCTTTCATAGTTGGATGATCCACGTGTGTTGCCTGGTTACCATTTTCGAGACGACGCCATACTTTTATATCACGCTATACAGAAATATGCATCTAAATATGTTGCTTTATATTACGGTAAGTAACACGTCTAATTACGTTTCCATATATCATTGGGGGAGCAGTGGGGGGGGGGGAGTCTAATGGATTCGTCTTGCATCGATCATAAGGTCTGGTAATGAGCCAAATAACCTAGATGGATTTTTTCCGGGTACTTCGGTTTCCCCTCAATGCTATAGGAGACCCCTATGCTAAATAAAATATTGCACCATATGTTAGGCAAAAAATGACATAGTTTGAGCCAAGTAGAGCCAATCAAATACAAAGACTTGTGAATATATTATTATAATTATTATTATAGATACACCAGAGAAAATAAATGGTGATTGGGAATTACAGAATTGGGGTAAAGAATTAGCTTTATCTAGAGAACAAGGTGGTGTAGGACTACTGGTAAGATTTATATCTTGTTTTATTATTTTAGTTTGACCACTTTTTAAGATGCCAGATGGAATTCGAAATAAGAATAAGCCTTACTGCCACTGTCTGGGAACAGTTTCCCTAATAGCACACTTATGGCGCATGCCTGTCTTTATTAGCCCAGTCAGTTCTTAAAAGTAGGACATTAAACCCTACTGCTGTTTATATATTTTAGGGTATGATTTACTATTGTTTATATATTACAGGGTATGATTTATTGTTTGTATATTACAGGGTATGATTTATTGTTTATAATTGTTAGTATATTACAGGATATGATTTATTGTTTATAATTGTTTGTATATTACAGGGTATGATTTATTGTTTATAATTGTTTGTATATTACAGGATATGATTTATTATTGTTAAAATATATTACAGGGAATACCAAATGACGGAACATTTAAAACAATAGATGATATAATAAAAGTATTAACATGTATTGTATATACCTGTAGTGTTTCACATGCGTCAACTAATTTCCCTCAATATGAAGAATACGCCTTTACTCCAAATTATCCTGGTATGATGCGAGGAAAACCACCAAACTCAAAGGTACGGTGATTATATTGTTATATTATATTGTAATATGATATTCTAACTATATCCTAGTATGATGCGAGGACAGCCACCACACACGCTGGTATGTTAATCATTGTAATGTTATATCCTAGTATGATTGGAGGACAACCACCACCACACACTGGTATGTTAATTATATTGTAATATTATATTCAAACTATGTATTATGCGAGGAAAACCACCATATACATTGCCAACAATTCTTTATATTTTCATAGAATTATATCCACTGTGTATCTCTACAAATTGTTGTATTCCAAAGAATTGTGCCCTGAGCATCGCCTTCAAATTGATGTATTTCATATAATTGTGTCCTGCGTATCACCTACAATTTGTTTTATATATTACGTACAAACTATTGCATTATTTAAAAACACATTTTTTAGATACTATCAATTTGTCTTTTCTAGGACCCCGTAGAAGAATGCCGGATCTTGGCCAGTCTACCGGATAAACCAACAACCCTAGATATTATGGTCGTTACTAAAATATTAAGTGGTCGAGGTACCAAAAGTCTCGGTGATTTTGAAGTTCAGTATGTTTTTGATCCGAAAGCCACGGGGATCGTTGATGAGTAAGTATTCTATAAATCGGAGCCCAACTGGCCCAGTAAGGCGCTGACTCGCAAACCATAACACCCGGATGGATGGCTTAGTGGGAAAGGAGCTGGCTCGCCAACCATTATGCCCGGGAGGCTTAGTGAGTAAGACGCTTGCTCGAAAATCACGAGGCCCGGGTGGCTCGGTGATTAAGGCGCTGGCTCGCAAACCATGAGGCCCCGGCTACGATCCTCGTGTTGTTCTTTTTGATTTCCTAACTTAGTTTCCCGTTGTCAATGGTACTGTACCTACCCTAAACAAGCCCCTATTTAACAACTGACGCCCTTCACAAATTTCCTAGGAAACACTTGCCTGCGATATCAGTCTGGGTGGAAGCACAAGTTAAGCCCGGCTGCAAAGCAATCCGAATCAAGTCTAAATCTGACACTGCAGTGGGCCCTACTAGCAATATCCAAGATTCCAGATCGGTGTTCAATCTAATAATGACAAGTTTATATATTTTCTTTTTACATATAAGTGTAGCAACCGTTTTCATTAACCCGGTTGGTGTACAACGTTAAACCCCATTTTATTTCATTTCTTTTCTTAATTGTAATATAATGGTGTATTTTTTTTTTTTTTTTTTTTTTTTTTTTACAGATTTCGTTTGGAATTACGACAAATCAGTAAAACGATCAAGGAAAGAAACCAATCCAGAAACCCACCATATATTTATCTTGATCCAGAGATCGTCCCGAATTCTATTAGCATTTAAAACTTATCATCTTCACAAACCATTATTTAATATAATCATCTTCATTAACCAGCATCATTCTAATTAATTTATTTACGAACTACATGTATATTCATTTATAATTCATCTGCTCTAACCGTTGTTCGCCATTTTAATTTTTCGGACATCTGTTTTTGTTGTTCTTTGGTGTTTAAAGTCCGCGTCCAGCGAGGGTGATATTGCAAACAAGTTGTCTTATTTTTACTTTTATTGTCTTAGTGCAGGGGTCTATCTTGTGGGAATAAACCGGAGTACTAGGAGTAAACCCACGAGGTTGAAAAGACGCCCCTAGCTCCATGCCACATACGCTCACATCAGGGATCGAAAACACGACCGTAACCCAAAGTTGACCTGCCAGCTAGAGCTCGAAGCGCGACACTCTGGACCAGTAGGTCATCCCAGCCCCCGGGACAATATCTCATTTTCTACGGCTTATAATTCAGGCTAAAATTTACCCGAATTGATTATTTAACATTTAAAGGAAGCAAGTCTTTAATTCAAATAAATAATTTATATATCATCCACAGTCTTCGACATTGCAAACAAGACTTATTGGTCAATTTAAATCAACATTGATGTTGTTATCTTACCGTGAAGAGATGGTTAAGACAAAAATGATAATTTTATAATTGGCACGCGAATCTCGTGCCAAATTGCTTTCGGGTGCAATTTGTAAAGAAGCGACACGATGAACGAGGCTAAACATACTACCGGTGTAGACTGGAATAACCAAACGCCAAAGACTGCCATTCAAATTGGACTTTTCGTGTATTTCGCCGAACATAATTACAGTAAAACAGAAACGACTGAATGTAAATCAGTTTATATACATTCATATTACATTATTATATGCTTTGCGATCCATTTGTGACAATTTTTGTCAATTTCTAGTTGTCAAAAAATAGAGATTTAGCTCCTTTAATTAAGAAATTAAAATCAAAATATCAACGATAGGGTTACAAGAGGCACATTAATAGAATTTAGTAAAGATTATACGTGGCGCTGGCTTGTTTTGACCATATCCTATATCGTCAGCAGAGGATGTCGAATATTCATAAATTTTAAATTCATCATATCTTTGTAAATACTGAATGGAATTGAGCCATTTTGACACTGTGATTACGGTCTACTCCTATTTCGAATTCGAACTGTCAAGGGTTTTGTTACGAGCACGCCGGTGTGTAAACGGGACCTCGATTTTTCATTGCATCCGAATTCCAATTGCCTAGGAAAATTTTACGTGCATGCCATTGTGTACACGGGGCTTCGGGTATTCGTCCCATCCGAACGACTAGACAGCTGTCCTTGTCAGGTCCTCCGTCCTGCACCATCGATAAAGGGAAACCACTCAGAAATTAGTTCCTAGAATTTTGTGCTGTATATTATTTTCTATCATATATTTTGTATTGTATATATTTTGTGTCATATATTTTTTAGTGATCGATCACACATTTTTGTGATTAAATTCAATAGGTATATAATGATTTTTAAATAAAATGGTGATTTCCTTTGGATTCACCCACCTCGCGTAAAACATGCACGGTATTAATTTGTTTTCTTTAATAAGGCAACCCCGCCAAGCACAATGTGCACTGTATTATTTGCTGGAAAAATCTATTAGGTAAGTGCATTAACCCCTTCTTATTCCGATGTACGACTGTCAGGGGATATTTAACGTGCTATGAAGTCAAGTGTATAAATTGGGATAAATTGGAAAAGGGGTTCAATGCCTTTACTTTTTTTAATCAAAGGGTTAACAAGGATGGACATTCACCACGCATTGTGCTATGGGGGAAGGTGCATTTTTTTTGCCATGGCAGCGGCGTTTCCGTCTAGTCTTCATCGAATTCTAGCAATCAAGGGTTCCTTTACGCGCACACAAACGGCTTCGCGAGGCCTTGTCAGCCCCCCCCCCCCGCTTCCTGCATGGAAGAGTTTGATATTTCTAGTCAAAGATACAGGAGTTTGCGGACCGATCTCTCTCAATATCATTTCGATATTAAACATGAATACTTGAAACATACCATTGATAATAGATGGCAAACTACTTCACAACTTATCAACTCAGCGTTAAGATGGTGGTTGCGTTCGCATTCTGCGCAAGTACAAGTTCGTCTGGTAATTTTTGTTGACCTTTTGATCAAGAAACAAAAAAAGAGTGTTAAAATTCTGGCAGGATTTGGAGAATAGTCGTTACTATTTTCTGGCTTAAAGATCAGAAAGGAAACGGAAATGAATTAGGAAAATGACGTCTCAACAGATTTCACTGACCGGGCGCAGCACAAAATCGAGACGGCCAACGCCCTTCAATAGTATTATCGGATGATTGTGACCAGTGCCGCGGTTACTATTGGGCTTAAGCACAGGGGCCCCGTGGGCCCGGGTGGGGCATGGGGCGTCTTCCCTGATAATTCAAAGATTTGCCTAAAACTTGAAAATAATGAATGATCAGGTGGTATGTATTATGTTAACTACTCCTACATTTTCTGAGCGTATATGTCGGACTGCCTGTATAGGCATGTCGGGGCTACCTCCTTCAGTGCCATGTAAGGGGCCTCATAACTTTTAACTAGCACAGGTTCTCCTTATCCTAAATCCGTCATTGATTTTGACATGTTCTCCTGGTGTGTTTATACAAATTAACGTCATCAGATCGTTCTAAAAATTGTTATAGTCAAGAAACAGCATGGATTTAACATGGATAATTGTTAGTCTGACTCCTTAACCATACGTAATTATCTCCCCTTAATCTCCCGTCGATTATATTGGTTGAATGGCCCAAAATGAAATGAAATGCGGGTTTAACGTCCTACTATTCTGCACTGACTGGGCTAATAAGGACGGGCATACGGCCTACTCTTACTTTGAATTCAACTGTCAAGGGAACTTTTACGTGCACGCCAGTGTGTGCATGGGACCTTGTAGATAGCTAGGGGCCTTGATTATTTGTTCAATCCAAACAACTATACATTTTTCCTTGCCAGACCCTACAAGCCTCCATCCTGCACCACAGACAAAAAGGTACAACACCGGAAAATCCGGATGAACTATCTCACTAACACAAGGGTCGAACACTGGACCCCCAGGTAAGCGAGCCAACGTCTTATTCACTGAGCCACCGCAGCTCACTCAATGGCCTAAAGTTCTGCTGTAATGATTACAGTAATGTAATGGGGAAGGATCGTGGTGGGTTTGGTTGAGGGAGATTTACCCCACCGGATCCAATCACCTCATCTGATAGGTGCGTTTGTTCATTGAGATGCCTGTGTATATTGTGTTACGTTTGTAGGTTTGTCTTGTGTATTTGTTTGTATGTGATTCCCCCCCCCCCCCCCCACTCTGCACTTACATGAAAAATGGATATCCTGTATTAAAAGAAAATATAATTTATTATAGTAAATAATGTTTAATCATCTTGTGAGTATCTAAATAAATGTAAACAAGTTTAATTCTAGAGTGAGAGGTAGAAAATCATATACTACTGTACTGAATATCTATACACAACTAGTAGCAAATGGACACAAGGCCTTGGAAGGCTTACTTAAATGGACACAAGGCCTTGTGATACTTACCTAAATGGACACAAGGCCTTGTGATGCTTACCTAAATGGACACAAGGCCTTGTGATGCTTACCTAAATGGACACAATGTCTAATGAAGCCACTGTGGGGTACACTGCCTACATTGTACTAATAGTGGTAGCATGTAGGTAGACAAACTTTTCACTATCTAACAGCACAGTACAATCTGTACCATGTAGTTTGTGGGGAGGGAGGAGAGTGGTACTTAGAGAATCAGTTCTTTCATTGAGATAATTGGTGTTGATTCAATTAAAAACTTGTACTAATAAGGAATAAGATCGTCTGTCTGACCTAAGGGTCTTCTAGTTTCCTCCCTATGCTAAAGTCAATTCTTTTCTCTCTCTCTATATATATATATATAGTTCTGCTGAGGGTAATCCATGTATTTGTTTGTAATTCATCTTTAAAAGCATATACACATGTCATGCATCTGTTCATTTGTTGACTAAAATATCAGATAACCTAAAACTAATGATGAAACTTTGAAAAGATTTAAATAGTCAAATATATAATTAAATGGGAAATTTTATTACTGTCTGTAATTATACTTTTCTTAGAAAAAATTGTGTATAAAAAATATAATAATAATCACAATCATACAAAATCACAATTATATAACAATTTATAACAATTTATATCAAAATTTTACAACAGCTTGAAATATTTCTGTATACAAAATCTACATACTAACCAGCAGAAACATACAAATAATTTTCTAAATCTCAATTTATAATGTTTATAACTATTTACTTTCTCTGAGTATAGTTTAGAAACTAATTACTCAGTTAATTATAATCTTTGAATGGCATTTAGCGATTGAACATAATATAACACAACACATTTCTATGGATAACAATCACTATATTATATACACACGTTTCAACAAGAATTCACTGGTCGAAACATTGTGTGTATATAATATAGTGATTGTTATCCATAGAACTGTGTTGTGTTATACTCAGTTAATTACGCACCACAGGTCAGAGAAATTAAAAATATTTTTCGATGATTGTCTAAGTATTTTAACAGTGTGCCAACAATTGTTTGAAACTAAATATTATATACAGAAACTGCTGCTAAAACACTACACAATACCCGAGTTGTAGTGACAGTCATACAAATAAATTTCTAAATCGCAATTTCTAAAATTTACTTGGGATTTTTTTCCTGAAAAGATATTGAGCTATTAACCATTCATTGCCATTTTTAAAACCAAAAACTTCTGAACAGAAAATAAAGAATAGTCTAAAATTAAATATTTGTTTGTCGGCATCTTCTCCGTATGCTTTCGAAAATATCTGTTTGACTTTATCTTTATTGGCATCCATTTTTTCTAACCAGGCTTCCAGAGTTTTAGAGTAATGAGTTCCGTTTAAAACCCAGTGATCATCTATGGATATATTATTCTGAAATAAATAGAACAAGTCAGTCATCAACACTCTGCATCCTTGTATACAAAAAAACTATGTAAAATTACATTATATAAGAGCTTGCTGTTCTTGCTATAATAGGTCAAAA